GAGCAGCTGTTTTAACACATCTCTTTCAAGAGAAGGTTAAAAGAACAGAATGCACATTGTTTGCAGGAAAGAACAAAGGCTCAGAAAGATGGGCACAAACAGAAAGGCTGCAAAGAGATCTCTATGCTTTAATCACAATGATTTAATTGAAAAAGACGTAAACCAGGAAAGGCATGATGTTGAATGAAGGAAATCTGCAGTACAGAAACCCTTCCAGGTGTACAGTAATGCCACAGCAGTATATGTTTCTATGCATTTCAAATAGAATGCTTTAGTATCTATAATGCAGAATAGAATAAATATTTTATGCCTTTTTTTCCTCTCACAATTTTGTATGTATGTATGGGTGTATTGGGGCAAACTTCTGGAAAGAAAGGAAATGTTGTTAGATGCTCAATAACCTTTTTATTGAAAATGAGTATTTGTTGGAAACAAAATGTTGCACTGCATTACGTTCCAAAAGAGGTAACGTGAGAGGTTCTTGTGTTTGGTAGCTGTAAGTTTAACAACCAGCATCCTTTGAGAATGCTTTCTTTCACCTGGGGTTTTATAACATGACTCAGTTTTTGTGATGTGATGTCTGTTATTAGTCTGTTTACTTTGGAAAATGAATTATTTGTCAGGCATGCAAGCACCTGAAACAGTTGAAAACTGAATCACAGTTTTACAGTTAATAGATTTGATGTTTGAGAAATTGGTATTGTTTCAGTTTTGTTTTTAAGTCCTGAGATTTTTTTTTTGAAATGACACATCACAGTAAACAGATTATTATTATTATTAACAATCTCAATTCTACAAGAAAAAGAGCTGGAAGAAGCCAAAATAGGTGCTGTTTACCAGAACACATCCATTTCTGGGATTCATGAGTTTCCATTTGGAAGCTCCGTTCAGTCCTTTGTTTCTAGAGCTATATACAAGGCTTGTTTCAGGAGAAGATGTTTAATTATGCTCTTTATGCTTCTTCTTAGTGAAACGTACTACCTGCTGTAGTGAACAGAAAAGCCATATAAAACTGCTTCTAGATGTCATCTTGCAGGATTCTCTTTCAACTCCCGCAGAACTGAAAAATAATTTTCCTTTCACTCACTGAGTTACCGAAATTAAATTTAAAAGCATACCTTCATTTCAGCCTGAAATTCTAGAGGGCTAGGAGGTTATTAGTTGAGGTATGTTTTCTGTGTCCTCTTGAAATGAGATTGCAGCCTTCAGTTTCAGTGTTCTCATTTCCATTTAGGTCAGATCGTTCTGGCAGAGCACAAGTCAGTCCTTAAGTCCTGATGTGTCAGGAAAAAGAGTTTCAAGTTCTCAAACTTGGTTTTCTCCTGAGCTCACATAGTTTGACCTTGCTTTGTTGATCTGGCACATGTTCTTGCATTGATGAACCTTTGGCAGCCAGCCAGCGTTACGTATCTTATAAACGAATCAGTCTCATCTGTACTAGCAAGGGTCACAGTGAATGGCTAAGCTTGAGCAAAGAGAGAAAGCTTATTTTCATTCTTTCTACTTCAGATTTTAAAATGACTGATTACCAGTGAAAACATTTTCCTGTATTTTAATGTTTAATGGCACTACACTTAATTGTATTGCATGACTGAAGTGCACGTTCTGCTCCCTGCTCTTTAGTTTTTCATAATTCTCTTAGAATTGCTTGAACTTGCTAATTTTTGGAGAAGCAATATAGAATTGACATTTTAATCATCAGCTTGTAACACATATAAGAAAGTTTAGCGTCTCTGTTCTGTAGAAGATGTACACTAATGCTTAATCTCATTGGCTATGGCATGTCCTGTTTGGCTCAGTGCATAAAACTGAGCACATGCTCTTAGTCTCAGTGGTACCAGTGTCTAGAATCTCGAGTAAAGAGCCAAAAAGGAGTGATGCAGCTGTAAAATGAAATTTATCAATGACATGAGAGTTACTGGCATCGAAGTCCAGCCAGTGCATTAATGGCCTAAAGCAAGATTGATTCAAGGGCGAAAGAAAATTTGTAGCATTCTGTCTGGAACTGACTGCAGGAAATGAGGGGAGCCAGCATGTACTTGAGCATCAAATCTACCGATTGTCTTCACAAACTTGAGTCTTTTTACTAGATGGTGCTTGGAAATATTAATCAGCAGATAAGTTGGGACCAGGGATACAAAACGGATTTGTTATTGTGGCAAAAAAAATTGGCCATGCCTGAGCTCAGACCTTTAAAGTAAGCTGAGGCTCTCCAAGCAATCCAGACACCAAATCCCCAGGGTATCAGTACCAGAGTCCATCAAATAGCCATTGTTAAGCGAAGGTGTGTTTGCCAGATGTTGACAGAGCACAACCCTGATCTCATTCTTTTAAATTAATTTGTGGAATGACCACATGAACTCCTTGGTTCGCTCCCAGAGCATTTGTAATAATATGGTCCTAGGTAGAATGTCTCTGTCTTCCCAAGTTCAATGTTGATTGTGTTTACTGTAGTATCATTTTAAGTTTCACTGATTGAAATTACCTAGCACAGATGACTTGGAGATATTTTTCTTACCTGTTGAATTAGCTGAGAAAGCAAATAATTGTTCTGGCTACTTCTCTTATTTTCTGTACACTTGACAGCTTCCCTCAGACACTGAGGGTCCCATGAATTCTCCAGTTATTGCCTCTTTCGGTTCTATGTTTTACAAAATAAATGTCTTAAGAAAACTAGTAATTGCAGAGTCTCCAGTATATATACAATATGAGGTATTCATTAACACAGGTGATCTAGAAAACGTCTTAAAACGTAGCCAGCATCTGATAGGAATGAAACATGATATTTGTAGACAAAACAGAAGAATGGATTTAAGTATGGAAACAAAGCAAACTCATCTTTTAATTCCAATAGTTGTAAGATTAGCAGCAGTGGTTATTAGATTTGTGTTTTTCACCGTTTATAAACACCTGGCAAGTTTAATTTAGCACCTGAGGTGAAGACTGATCTCTTAAATTTGATGTAATACTGTAAGACCTTCAACTTTTCAAAAAATAGACAAGAGTAAGAGAACTAGTGTGGAATGGTTGTTTTACCCTTTTCAGCCTATGTACAGAGGGATGTGCCTTTCCCTACTTAACTTTGTGTATAATGTCTTTTGACTTGACTTCAGAGAAGCATCCAGTGACCAAGAGCAGTTGCTGCTTTTTTGCTATTAAGCATTAACTGTTAATTCATGTACAAATCTGTGAAATATGAAGCAGAAACAGTTCAGTTCATGTCCAGTCCCATGGAAAATGTCAGCTAGATAGGTCATATTTTGTACTTTGTGGCAGTCTTGGATGGAAAGATGCTAATATTTAGGTTACTTAAAATATTTAATAATTTGTCATAATTGTATACCCTTGAATCGAAGGGGGAACATGGCAGTGTGTGAACAATATTGGTTACACAGTGTAAGTTTTCACTTATAAACATACCCATATTCTTCTCTTATTTAAACTGGCATGACAGAACAGGTTTATTGGTCCTGGCAGGGGTTTCATAGGTGTTGCTTACTTTATTTACATAGTTTCTAGTAATAAAATTCTCAGAGAAGCGTTTGAAACAATGTGGTTTTCTTGCTATTTTTGACAATGAGAACACAAAAAGCTCTCTGAAGTGTATTTGCTGATATGTTAAATATATATCCCATACCATATTTCACCCAAAAAATGAATGGTGAGTGGTACCAGGGATGCACGCTTGAATTGTTATGTGGGAGACACACTTGTTTAGGAACTTATAAGGAGAAATGAGTGCATGCTGGTAAATGCTGCATCTTTGATTCCAGTTGAAGCTTTAACTGAGAGTGTCCCTCTCCAGAAACTGCAGTACAGTGTCTTGCTCCTTCTTCTGCTATTGATACTTTCTGGAAATGACTGAGCCAGCTTTCTCGTGGGGTGACACTGAACCACTAGCAAAAAGCATATGTGAGACATATGTGTGACTTGCATGGCCTTGAGTGATAGTTTGTGGAGAACTTCAGGGGAGAGCAAGCTCTGCAGTAGCCCACAGAGTATAAATTTTAAGTGGGTCCTTGCATCAAGAACGTATAGCTCAAGTATCTTGAAAACTTCATGGGAAACACATGGGTGTCCACCTCTGGTTTTGATTTGTAGTGTCCAACATGGTTTTGAAACCACATTCATAGATTGCAAAACCTGATGGGCTCAGATTGGCCATCAAGTTGGCCATCAAGCTATGAGATATGGTTTAGTAGCTTGTGGTACTAATAGGAATGGGAGGGTGGTTGGACTAGATGATCTTGCAGGTCATTTCCAACCTTGTGATTCTGTGATTCTGTGAAGTGTGCGCAACACAGGTCAGAAATGCAGTCTGCAAAACAGAAATATTGTTTCTGCATTGTCCTCATAACTTCTTTTTAAATTAAGATGGCTTTTTCAGAAATATTTTGATCTAAAGCCCATCTAATTGGCTAATTAGAGAGCTGTTCTGTCCTCGTGATATACTGCCACTAGTGCTGTTCATTACAAACATTTGATCTGATACAGCTTTTATTTCAGTGGGAGAGAGAACAACCAGTTGCATGTTATTTTTGGAGCATGCTTTCCAAGATAGTTCATTCTAACACAGATTTTGTAAGTTCTCTGACAGATTGTAAAATCTTTGTTTGTGTCCTTTATGTTGAAGAAACAGAGTGGGACTTGGATCAATTTTCTTACTATGCCTGATGGAGCAAGAATCTTTAGCGTTGCTTCCTGGTGAGTTTTTATTGAGGCAGAAGCAATGCCCTGTAGCTCAGCTCAGAACCAAATGCATAGGATGTTATATTGGGCCTTTTAAGGTTGTTATAGGTGATATTAACTAAATGATGGACAGCACTTCATTTTCTACTGCACATGAATCAATTTACACATCTAATTTGTTGCTGTAGTTCTTTCTGTTGGATTTTTGGTAAATGCATAGACCCTTCAGCCCTACTTTCTCCAGTCAGATGTCCTTTGTTTCCCCCACCCCACAATAACTATCAGCATACTCTCTTTTCCTCACTGCCAAGGGACATATTGCCAGCAGAGAGAAGTGGAGGCTATAACAGAAGGAGATGAAGACGATGAAGGCTGCTGCTGCTGTAAGCCAGGACACTTGCCTCACTTGTTATCATGTAATGCAGCCTTTAACCTCCGATGGCTGACGTGGGAAATAACACGAACCCAGTACATCCTCGAAGGATATAGCATCATTGATAACAATGCTGCAACGATGCTGCAAGTGTTCGATCTGCGGAGAATTCTTATCAGATACTACATAAAGGTGAATTGTTGGCTAAAATGGACTTATTCCTATGCGGGTTTGTCAAAAATGATGGCTGGCTGCTAAGAGTAGTATTTGAAGTAACTGGCTTTGTATTTATTCCTTCACACTGCTGGCAGTCGTACTACCTCATTATTAGGTAGGGATAATTAACTCATGTCTCCTTCGTAACATATGACTCTGACCAGATATGCTTTGTACAGGAAGTTGCAAGCGTGCTTAAGCAGAAATTGAGAAGGTGAGTTAGCTTCCTTTCCTGATAGAGGCAGAGGAAGCATTCTTATAAAGCAAAGCTTCAGTGACAGTTTGGTTTTTGTGTTTGTGGTGTTGTTAAGATCACAAAGACCACACAGATACTCATTTGTCAGAAAAGCCAAACCCTTTCTAACCCAGCAAGTGAAGAAATTTCTGTGCAGTACTGTCTTCTGCTGAAGCAACAAAAGCCAAATGCTGCCTTTTATGTCACTAGTACTGCCATTAAGCCAATTACCAAAGCTCCCAACCATCTCTGACATCTCCTTCCTACCTACATCTCTGCGATTTTAAAACTCCTGTCAACCATAGAGAGAGACCTCCTGTAAATAAATTAATCACCTTTATATGCAAGTGACCCAGTGCAGTAAAAACAGGATAATTGCCTCACGAATGTGCTTTGGTCATGCTGTCAATTACTCTGTAAAGCGCAGGCTGGAGTTTCCTAAATAATTTTACAAACATCAAGGCCCAGTAACCAACCTGGTTTAATTATTAAAAAAACAAAACTGCCTGTAAACATGCTTATTTCATTTTAGCCACAGAAAAAAAAAAACACTTCTAACAATTTAATTCAATTATTTTTAGGGACTGTACCTAAACTGAACAGACAAACAAAAAGGCTTCTTTAATCTGAAATTAATATATTGCTACAATTGCTTCACTTGACTTTAAAAGGTAGTTTGAATTTAAAGTGATGTGAATTGATATGATTCAGATTTTGATGGCATATGAGACTGAAAATCATCTCAGTCTATGATGGAATCAAATCAGCAGCTCATTAGTTTAAAGTAACAAACAATTGTGCTTTTTAAACAGGAGGTTTTTCATCCCTGAAAATCAACTGAAACAAGAGACCACTGTGGAAAATTTGAAGCAGTCGCATAGGAAGTTAACTGGAAGGCAGTTTAGAGCTTCTATTCTAGAAATACTTGAGAGGCAGCTGACATACAAAAGGTTGCTTAGGCAAACTTTTGTCCCTTACAATACGAGTGAAATTGATTCTGCCTTGAGTGAAAGGGTTAAATGAACTCTGTGCTTCTGAAATGTGCTGTGTCTCCACATCCCTTGGGTACAGATTTTGTAATGTTCAGCATCTGTGACTTTCAAGGTTTCCAAATCTAATCTTTTTTGGATTGATTTTGTGAGCCAACACTATTAGGATGTTTTTACAGATCTTCATCCTTAGAAAGGCTCCAGTCTCTTAATCTACTTCCCTTCTTAGGGAAGGATGAACGAGGGTTGATAATAACCTGTTGTCAGCTTAGTTTTTAGCCTGTGCCTGATCTCCCTTGGTTTCAGTAGAATTCTTCCTCAGAATGGCACTCCCAAAAAAACCCTTAAGGAGTTTTTTTTTTCTCCTATTCTTCAAATTAATCATTTTTTCCATAAACAGAGACTTTGATAAGATTTGATAATAAGATTTGATAAAATCCTTAGTACAGCCTAGGAAGATGAGAAGATTATGTTTTGTATCAGATAAGCTGTCATGCTGTTTGTCTAGTGCTGCTGAAACTTAACCTTTGGATAAACATTCGATACCAGAAACAGAGGTGAGAATTCACTCCTTTCTCAGCTTCCTCTTAAGGAGGAATCTTGAGCTGTGAAGACCCTGGGCAATTCCACTGTGAACATTTTCAACCCCTGACACTTTGTTTTTAACGAAGTAGGAAGGTGATTGTAAGAAGTCTAGTTAATACAGTATTCAGGCAAGACAAATCACTAACTCAGAAAACCCATAGACTTGAGCTTCAGCAGTAACTGCATCTCCATCACACCGAGTGCTTGGAGTGCTTCTAGTTTGTACTTAGTAGCTTATAATATTGTAAATATTTGCTGTATCATTTCTGAATTGCTATATAGCTGAGAATGTACTCCTGCACGAAACATATCCAGGAAGAGCTACTAAGAGTGGAATTTAATTAGGTGGCAGAAGTTCTGTTGTTTCAGTGTCTGATTGCCAGTCTGATTATTTTCCTAGCTGAATTTGGTTTTTTGGAAACACAGGTGAGAACAATAAGAAAAACAAAGTGTATTTTGAAGATCAGTGAAGAAAACTTATGCTTTGTTTCACTTCCATGCTTCATGAATAATTATTAGATTGATCTTTTAAAGAGTGAGTTATATTGAGCTTAATATTCTTTGCGCATTTATTTCATTTGCAGTTCCACTGGCAGTCCAGAAAGGCCCTTATTTTTTCTTGTAAGGGGATTTTTATTCTCCACAACCAAAGTGGGTCAGCTCCTGCAACCCTCCTGCATACATTTTGAAATCATTTCCTGCTCAACTACTGTGATATTTTCCCTTGTGCCTCCTCTGTCTCCTCTCAATATATTCTTATTTAAATGTCTTCTGCTATTCCAGAAGTCTGCATTCTCAGAGTTTTCAGATCCTATTGTTTCTTTGTGAATTTTTTTCAGAAGATTTCATATTGTTTCTCCTCATGCCAAGAAATTAAGGCACTATCCCCAATCTATATTACTCTACCTTGTCTTTTTCCATTGGAACTTAATTTTACTCTTACCTGTATATTTTTGTGCAGTTTGAAAGACAAATTGTGGATGGCATCTGGGATTTGTAAAAGAGCTGGTGGTGTTTCTGTCCTTCTTTTCATTTTCATCGTATTTTAATTTTATATATTTATTTGCTTAATTATATTCCTGTTTCATAGGTAAAGTAGAACTACATCATCTTGTCATGTTCGTTCATCTCTTGTTTGCTTTGGAATCCAGTTTTAAATGAATATCTTCAATTAAAACAAAACATTCTAATGATAAAGTGTTGTAATGTGCCTTCTCAGCTGCTGTCACCTTCCTTTGCAAGACTGGAACTTCTCCATAGGTTTCCTGTTCTTCTGAAAATTAGCATTAAATTTGGCATTGATAGATTTTTCTTACTAAGATTCTAAAGGTTCCAGACCCACTGGTTAGAACTCAAGCTTAGAAACTCAGGCACAGGCATGAGATGTGAGTCTTGCTGCTTTCTTATATTTCTGTATTTGGTCAAAGAACTCCTGGTGGGTGCTCTTCCTCCTTCTTGCTTTATAAATGTAAATTCAGTTGCATTATTTATTAGCTTTTTCATATTACACTTATAATTCTTTATTCTTTACTAATCTCACTGACAAAATATCAAAAATAGTGATGCTACTAAATGCAGAGTAAAAACAGAAATTAAAATTTCGGAGGGGGGTTTCAGAGTTGTATTGTACACATCTGTCACATCTCACCTGTATGAGATTTAAATCGCTGTGGAAGTGTTTTTGTTGAAGAATTAGAAAAGCTTCATACTCAGATAGCAGGAAGCTTACATAGCAAAAAGAAGCCTGCTTCAATCATGTGGCCAGCTACTGCTGTTTTTTTCAAAATCTCTCTGAACTTTTGTCAATATCACCTTCTTGCTGATAGGCTCTGTGAGCCCACTACTATTCCATAATGTGTGCATTGCAGTGTGGGAATTCCTTGTTTGTATTGCAGTCCATTGATTTGTATTAATTTTCCTGTAAAGCACCAAGGTATTAAATATGTGACTTCTATTTCCATTTCCTGCTATTTAAATATCAATTACTACCATCTAACTAAACAGTCTGGTGAAGCATCGATTTTGAGCATTAAAAAACAGGAACAATATGTACCACTATGGGTTGCTAGTGTTGTCTTATTTGATTTATTCTTTTCTGCATAAAATATTTCTGCTTTAATCAGAGACAGAATGACTAATGTTTACTCATTTTGTCAACAGAGTATAATATACTTTACAGCAAGCTCTCCCAAAATTCTTGAGTGGATAAAAGATGAATCCATCCAAAAGACGCTGCAGCCTTATGCAAAGTGGCATTATATTGAACGTGACCTTGCAATGTTTAACATTAACATAGACGAAGACTATGTTCCTTGTCTCCAAGGAATAACAAGAGCTAGTTTTTGCAGTGTTTATCTGGACTGGATTCAGTACTGTGCCAGGAAAAGGGCAGAGGTAAGCATACATTTTTTTATGAGTAGTAGTTGTAATTTTTGAGATTGGATTTAAATGATACATGGTTACTAGGGATTAATACAGGAAAAATTATACCATTTAAGCTATTAAGTTTGACATAAATGAAAAACCTTTGCATTGGAAAATGGAAAGAAAACCACACATTACAGACTACTCTTGTGCAAAAAACTTAGTCTCAAGAAGCTTCAAAGCAGTAGTCTCTGGATACAGAACCAATTCCATGCTGTGCATACTCTCCAGCACTATTAATTTTATAATCTCTAGGAAGTGTGGATTTAACAAGTGCTTGCAGAAGCTCTGCTGGAGCAGGCTGTGCTCAAGGAATGACATCAGGACATTACTGTTCTTCAGTGCAGCCCGTGTTTGCTTGCCCAACATTTGTCCATGTTTGTTTGCTCTTTCCAAACGTTTGCCTATGCTTTGGTGTGATCCTCAAATGATAGGGAAGTGCATACCAAAAGAACAACTCGTACAGTTCACTCCTGAGAGCTGATAATTGAAATGTGAACTACGTAACGAGAGTGTGTGAAATGACAGTACAGCTCTAGAAGGCCAAGGGCAGGTTTGCAGCTACACATTCATGTGCTTTCAGCCGCTAGGATTACTGGTGGTCAGCAACCATTTGGCAGAAATGTTCTATTGTATTTCCATGAAATACTCAAAATAGCCCAGAGAGAGAATGCAGTTGCAGACAAAGCATATTCCTCTGTTTAATTTTCTGATTATTGCTGACATTGGGAAAAAATGAGAAGTGTATATTTCTTCGCCCCATACAATCTTATTCGGATGTTTTTCATTCAGGATCACTGACTGAACATCCCATTTGCCACCACTCACCTTATCTGAATAGCATCACATTGTTCAGTCTTGGTATTTCTTTTTCAATTCAGTTCTTTCTTGTAACTCTGCACTTCAGTACCATTCCACCAGTTCCTCTGCACATCACTACATTGGTGTTGTTTTCATTGAATTGTCCTCTGAGCTTTCCTCACCATCTCCTCCTGCTGGGAATGTTTCATCCCCTTCCTTGCCCATCTCCTGGCTTGACTCCCAAGTTCCGAGACACAAAAAAATCTATGGTGCAGTGAAAATCTCTGCTAAACGATACTTCTGATTTGCAATCTGGCTGTAACTTTTGAATAGAACAATAGATTTGGAGATACCCAATAGACTTGTAGTTCCTCTAAGTTAGAGTTAAAAGGGCAAACAAATGCCTGCACCAGTGCATATGCATGCACTTCCATTTATATATATATTTACGTATTTATATTTTATTTTATTGTAATTCACCTTCTGTATAGAGGTAAGGTCATATATGAGATGAGATTTTAAAATGCTTCATTGTATAGCCTGAAAATCAGAATAATTTGTAGAAGGAGTAGTATTCTCTGTTATAAGTAGCTTCAGTCTTAGAGTCAAAGAAATAACCCATTGCATGGGCTGAAATAATATGTACTCTCCTAAACGTTCAAATTCATGAGAGATTGTTGAAATCTTTCTTCCTGCTTGATAGTAAGCAATTTTTTTTGTGAAAATTTCAGTTAAAAAAAAAAACCAAAACACTTTTAAGCTCGTGAATGTGAATGAAATATTTTGACAGCTTGCTGAAATGTGAGGTCAGTGTCCTCAATGGCATGTAATTGTGATGTATATACTGGTATTCACTAGAAGTTTTTTGAATGAATTTTTCTCCTGAAATCTGTCCAGAGGTCTCATGTGCATCCTTTGTCCCATGGATGGGCTTTTGCTGCCTCCAATTGCAGCATCTCTTAGCAATCAGCAGAGTGTTTTGTCTTACAGTAATGGCTGGAGAAAAACAATGAAACAACAATAAATAAACCAGCAGAGATCTTCTTTGAGATCCCACCTCCTAAGATTGGAATGTTGTGTTTCTAGTCAGTGGGCAAAATAAGCTAGCATTTTGCAGAAAGACTCTGATTGTGATGTTTTTGTTCTTGTTCTATTAATTGCAAAGAGTGTTTTTGTGTGCAGATCCAGCTACAGACAGATTCTATTGTATTTTATTATTTACAGTATTAAAATGCTTTTTAGGATGCTGTTTGTATTTAGAATAACATGCAAGTTTTAAAACTTTGTAGCACTTGGACAGCGATGAGGATTCTCCACTAGTAACGCTTTCCTTTGCTTTGTGTATACTGGGCCGAAGAGCTTTGGGAACTGCATCTCATAACATGGCTATCAGGTGAGTTTTAGGTGTTTTTGCTACTGATCTTTAAGCCAAAATCTGTTGGTCTTTTTTCACTTACTGTAGAACCTCTGCAGAACCTTGAATCAAGGTGAAGTCTATTTCCTTTGTAATGTAATTTGTTTTCTTCTGTTCCTGGACTTCTTTCACTTCAGTAGCTTGCTTAATAACCAGTATCAGTCTTCCATATGAAACATCTTTCAGTCCAATCTTGCATTGAAAGAATATGTACCTGTGGTGTTTACTTGGTTCTGGCCTGGCTACTGAAATGCTGACTTTCTCCAGACGGGAAATAAACAGCTAAATAATCTGACTGCCTGTTAGCTGAAAAATAATAAATCATAACTGTGCTGTATTCCTTAGAACTATTTTCTGTAGTCACTGTGCCACTCCATGTTGGTGACTGAGGAAGACAGATCCTTTCGTCTCTCGAGGCCAGGATTTGTCTGTTCTCAGTCTTTTGCATCATTCATTCATTCAAAGCACTTCTTCCTAGAAAATTTGGCTTATGAATTCTATTACTTGGTTAAGTTTACATCTTTACATACTCAGCATCGTAAGTTCTTCTTAGGGTTCTTCCATTTTCACTCAGGTACTAATTTGTTTGGATTTTATAACATATCTGTTGTCCTTTTTTAAGTGTTCAGCCTGAGTAGATAATACAATAGATAGAGCATTTTATTAATACTATTTACTTTACAGAAGTCTACCTTCTCACCTAGTTTTAGATTTTTATTAGGTGTATTTGAAATCATTCTGTTCGTAGGCATTTAATAGTAGAGAAGTAGAGTAAGTAGAGTAAGTAGAGTAAAATAGTAGAGAAGTTCAGTAAAAATACAGTCTCTGACTGACCTTGCTGCATTGGCACAAAACTGTGAATAAAGCTAGCTAGTGTTCCATCAACAAGTCCTTAGGGAGGATTTGTCTTATTAACAAGAAAACAAAGGCAGCGTGTGTGAATTTGAATGTATTTTGTGTTATAAATCAGTCCTTTAAATATTCATTCTAGCTTTGTTGTGTGTTGAAATGTTCGTAACTTCTGTTTTCACGTCTTTCTTCAGTCAGTTCATGGCCCATATGGCTTATTTCTTGGTGTGCTGCTCCTTTCTGCTTTCTCAAGTGGCTGTTGTTATTTCTTTTCTACTGGTGTTTGCATATTGCTTTTCCCTATTGTTTTTTTTTTTCTGGGTTAAGTTTATTTTCCCTTAATTTCTACACAATCAGATTAGTATGATGTTTAATAATATTGCCCTATTTTCAGATGATCTGAATTTTAGAGTATAGGGACATGATAGAAAAGTTGATGAGCATTTAGGTTTGGTTTTTTTTTTTTACAGAAAAGATTAAAGTGATTTTGATCTAGGTCTGCAGCAGGTATGTCACAGTGACATTAGCAAAGCAACTAAAAATACCACAAAATCTTCCTGAAACTGTCATCACATTGCATGTACTTTGCACAGGATCTTAAAATCTTCCTCACAGTGTTTTGGCAGTTGTACAGGTACAGTAACAATGTCACTTCCTTTTATTGGCTTTCACAGTGAGTAGCTATGCAAAGAGATGGTAATGCTGTCAGAGACTTTTAAAAGCTTAACTTGGGAAGTGTGAATGTTGAGGATAATTATTTGCAAATATTTTACTAATTGCAGGAGTCAGCTATATCATGTCTTCTTGAAATTTGAAACATAAGCAATAAACCTTATCAGTTTCTCTCTTTTGGGGAATGGACATTCCAGCATTAAAAAAATATTGCAGAGAAAAAGTCTGTAGAAGGGAAAGAATTGTGGTAGCTATATGCACTGCACAGCTCTGTCTCTGGTTTTCTGAATCCATTATATATAGTACTTTATCTTTAATTAAGTTCTGGTTTTCTTTTACTAAGAAATTGCTCCAGGGTGTTATTATATTGTTGTATTTTTAACATGAGCTTTATAACATAAGAGGAAATAAATGGAAAGTTGTGTCAGTCTTTTTCAGCGCTACTTCACAAAAGCTTCCCTTAGAAAAGTTTCCCTGAAAAACTGTGTCACTTACCCACCTGGGTAAGTTACCTTCAGCATCTTTCATCTGTCAGAAAGATTTGGAAAAAAATGGGAATCTGAGTAGCACAATAGGAGTTATAAATTGCTAGGGCTAAAAAATATGACTTCGGCTTTGGTGACTGATGTTTATTTTTGTCTTTATATATTTATTTCAATTGCTGAGAGCAGTTTAGTAGACAGTATCATCTAAGGAGCAAGGTGGGAACTTTACCCTCAGACATCAAGACCTTTTACAACAAAAATCCCCCAAATTCAACTGGATGCAGCACAGATGGCTGCTTATCATACTTGTTATCTTTACTGCTACATAAAGGTCACCACAGCTTATTTAAACACAAAGAAGTCAGCAAGGCTCAGATAGTTGTAGGTTTAAGTGGCCAGGGGAAGCCAACACATGCAACATCAATGAGGTGAAGCAGATGTTCCCCAAGGATTAACTTTTGGCAATGAAGGCAGATCCTCCCCTCCCCTCACTGTATTTGGTGGAGAGACAGCAGCTCTTTCAAAGGATAATTTACAGCATTATTTTACAGAGGATTATTACAGTATTATTGCTGGTTCTTGGCCCCAGCTCTCAGCTCTTTGCAGGTTTCTGTTCAAGTCAGATGGGAAGGAAGCATTTAGGGTCTTCAGAAGCTGAAGGAATCATCCTTTAGATGATGGTTTTTTGCTTTCTTAAGAAGGTGTCATGACTTTTTAGATTTCTTCAGACAGCAATAAGAAACAACCCTGAACTTTTTTTTGGAACTTTATTAATTCTGGCTGTGAAGCATCTTGTCCACAATATCGCTAGAAGTTTCATGATGAATTTAAATTGTAATGGTCAGATAGGCAGATAGATGTTGTAATTCTCCACATGCTCATTTTGGTAGAGTTTCAGATAAGTCCATTGTGAGAAAATAGACAGTAATCTGTGCTTTGAGGCCCATATTTTGTCCCCTGGGGTAACTGTGTGGGTAAAGGAAAGTTTCACGTGGGCTTTGCTGTGTCTTGAGGACTGACAGTCATCCAACTGCTTCACCAAAACGCTAATTAAAAGGTAATGTCACACTGAGCTGTGCACTGCAGAATTGAGATTCAAGTTTACATTTTGTATGTAAACTATCAATTTGGACTCATTTACACCTGATTTTGTCTAATCTATTAATCAGTAAATGTCACTGTGTAAGCCAAGGTTCTAAATGCTCTTATATAATGTATGTAAATAATTATTCAGTGTACCTGTTCATGTAAATGTCAGCAGAAGCCCAACATTAACACTAGATTGCACTACAAATGCATTCATTAAGATGGCAGAACATTGCTATGCAAATCCCGCGCTCTCTTAAACTGTCATTAGGAGGCATGCTGCACAAAATGCAATTTGAAGAATGATGTGACATTACCATTCATTTATTCAAACGTGAGTGATACGTTTTGGTGTACCTCTGTGGAAAAAATACATAATAACACTATTTAGCCACTAGACCTCCTAATAAATAAATGTTTAGGATATGTTTCACATTTGGAAAAAAATAAAAATATTTTAATAAATCATCATTTCTTTGAGGTGAGCTGAGATGTGCAGGTTATTATCGGTACGTGTGTGTTTTGATGCTGAACTAAGTCCACAATTAATATTGGAAGAGGTCTATAAACTGAGGACAGAAAATGGAGTTTGGAGTGCAAAATACACACAGATGCAGTCACCAGCTCATTAGCTTTCATCTGTCTGTACTGGTTCTGGGCTTGCATCAAATGCTTTTAGTTCCAGCTGTGTTGGAACAACACAGGGGGAGAAAGAAGAGTGCTTGTTTTGACTCTGCTGCCCACTCTTGTGCTGATGTTGCTGCATCGTTCTCTTCTCACTGAACATCTGTGGGCTGCAGGATCCCATGTGCCTGCAGGTTGCCTTCAGAAACAGCTTGGCAGTGCAACAGCAGCTTTCAGGTCTCTGCTCAGAGGGTCAGCAGTGCTGCCAGAAATAGCAGTTCTGTCTCTTCCTGATTAATGCAGTTTCTTTGGCATCTGAATTTACCTTCACTAGGTTTCAAAATATGTGTAACGTGCCTGGAACTGTGGCAGGTGACTGATTGAGGTGTGTTCAAAGTGGGCCAAGAAAGTGGCAACAACCTTGTGTGGGGCAGAGATCAAAGCTCTGGGTGTACAGCTTCTTTGTGATCTCATTAGAGCCTTCAAAAGAGAGTGCAGCAATTAGGAGCACAACAACAGCTCTATTTTATGTGGATTAAGGGCTGTGTGTTGCAGAAATAACGGGTTGAAATACTGTCACGTTATAGGTAGGAGGTGCCCCAAAGCCTCATTACAATTGGCAGCAGAGTGAAAAATTGTAATGGCATTGTGAATACAGCAGTGTCCTTCAGACCTCTCTAGTGGAAAACATGATACATGAAATAATTGACTCTCAGCCTCCCACCACTACTTTACTCTGTGTAACGGTCACAATTGTTCTTAAAGAATGCTTGTTAGGAAACTTATTATGCAGAAGGCTGAGAAATGGATGAGTCTTCCTGAGTTCAACACAGTGGGAGCTGCACGTGCTTCCCTCTGCTCCTTCCACTGATGCTCAGCTGCAGTTTTCGTGTCCTGGTCTGAGCCTCCCTTTCTGCAGGCACTGTTGCTCGCAGCAGCTTGTTCAGCATCAGCTGATGCCTACAGGACACTCTGAATGTGGATGCAAACTCTTTGTTTGTCTACTCTGGTGTTTGTATTTGGCTCTGAAAGCCTCTGATGATTTAAAAAGCAGCTCTTTTGCCTGCCTATTCCTTCCTTCAGCTCAGCCAGCTTTTCATAGCAAATACAACGGGTATTACTTTGGAAGAGCTGCACTGCACAGTGTGCACATTTTGGGATTGTTTAGGATTGCCATGTTTTGTTTGTTTGTTTGTTTTTAATCCTGGAAAGAACGTTTATTTACTAAGGTATGTTTTGCAGGCCAGGATGGAGACAGGAGTATTGGATGTTGTCTCTGGGTGGGCCACTGGAAGGACCCTTCCTGATTTCTCACCTCTTTCAGGGATGTGATTTATGGGCACGTAGGCTGCACCTACAGTCTTTTTCTTTTTTAACTATTTTATTGTAGGGCTTCCATGGCTATTGAGCCACCCTTGGGCAGATTGTCGTTTTCCAGATTCTGGAGATGATTGATTGAGGGTCAGCAGGGATCAGGAGCCATTCTTTGAAGATGCATAACGACTCCCACTGAAACCTGTGCTGCAGTGCTTTGAAGCTCTGGGTTTAAGTGCCTGCCTCACCTAGGCATGTGTTAATATGTGACTAATAAATACAAATGAGTTAAGAATTCACAAGAGCTTCCCTGTGCTCCTGCTGTTCCCAGCAGTGCCCACAGCCCTGCCTCACTGCCTGCCCTCGGGCCCACTGATCAGTTGATTTGTATCGCATGGCGCTTGCACAGAGAGAATCAGTATCCAGCTGCTTTTCTGGTAACAACAGACATATCTCTCTGTTTTAATTTCTGCAGCACACTACCCACCACGGGCAAAATTAGAATGTGTTTGAGCTTGAAGATAGGCCAGGAAGTCTCCTAATCTCTCTTTGCTCTCTCTCAGAAAAGAGAAAATGTAAAATATGTCTATTTGTTTTTCCCAAAATAATTAAAACAGCTCAATTAAGTGGAAAGATGATGCATTCTCTGGAGAAAGCATGGATAGTAGTGAAAACCTCTAACATCTTAATGCTCTGCCCCCTCCAGAGCCTTTTACAATCTAAAAAATCAACTGCTGTAAAAGTGAGTAAGATGTTGGTGGATGGACCATGTCCTGAGGGTTTGTAGGAGATTCCAGGTTGTAATAGCTGGCTCTGTTTTCCTCCATTTCAGGATCAGTTCTTCAGAGCAGTGTCAGGTCTGTGGCCATGCTCTCAGTACCACCCGCGTGGCTCCTGTACACTGTGGGATGCTCAGATGCATGGTGAACCCCAGGCTGAGCCCCAGGCTTCTTGTTTCTCTTCACAAAGATCTAGTGCAACCATTTTCTAATATCTGCTTGGTTTTGAACCTCTCATATTCCACTATAGTTTCTGGTCCAGGCAAACCATTATCAAGGTCAGGCAGACCTGGTTACATCCAGTTGCTTGTGTGAAGAAAGAAACCTGGCCTGCAGTTGCTTTAAGGTTTGTTGTTTCAGTAGGAAATGCCCCTGGGTTAATTCATGCTTTTGAAACTTAATGCTCTTTTCAGTACGTCTGATTTAATGTTCAAGTCTGTTTTTGAGTTTCATGACAGAAGTTTCAGATTTAGTAAAAAAAAAAAAACACACAATAATAATACATTTTATAGCTGTTTTTTAATCATTACTATTAATTTTACCTTGCAAGCAGACTGTTAACCGTGACAGGGCTGATGATTGAACTTGCAGTGAGGGGCAGCTCTGCTGCCTTCCACATGCTACTGAGCAGCTGTAGACACAGCACGTTGATGCACAGGTCCTTAAGACTCATGTTCTGAGTGCCACGTGTGTCTCATGGCCAGTTGGCAGCGCAAGCAGAAGGAATAACACCTACCCAAAGAGATGTATGTATGCAGCATGACTGTTGCTTTACATCTGCCACAAGGATTCATAGCGAGCACTCCCAGAACTATGCCATGGTTCTCCGGGCAGTGGAAGGGCTGCGGGTCCCTATGCAGCTCAGCTCCAGCTTGGTGAGGAACAGATGGCCTCTGAAAGTGACCGCTGCCTTCCTCTTGCAGCTTAGACTCCTTTCTGTATGGCCTCCATGCACTGTTCAAAGGGGACTTTCGGATAGCGGCGAAGGATGAGTGGGTCTTTGCAGACATGGATCTGTTGCATAAGGTGGTCGCCCCAGCGATCCGCATGTCTCTGAAGCTCCATCAGGTAGGATCTTTGTTTGTTTGTACCTTACTTTTACTTTTGCATTTGTCTTCTTAGGGAAACAGTGGGAAACTTGAAAAATGTTTGATGAGAGCAAAATGGAGTATGTGTTGTTTTACTCTGAGAAACTTCCTTAACTAAAATGGAAAAGCTCAGCATTTGTTTATTTTGCATTTACTCAGTATTATTCCTCTGTAGCCTCAGGCTATCCATTGCAGACTATTTTTATTGCAGAGCTTGCCCCTGTCTTTTTCATTGAAACAAAGTAGATGGACATGCCATGTTTCACTTGTGGAAGTACCATAATTATTGGTTCTAGCTTGAAAACAAATGCAATAAATTGATCAATAAACTTTTTAAAAAAATCTATGAATTGATTGAGCTAATTTCATCATTTATTTATCAATCTTTTTCTGATGGGCAATAACCGAGTAACACTTCCATATGTTGTTGGAAGTTACTGCAGAGGAGTTGTGGTTTGAAGGGTTGGTGTCACTGCTGTGTGTTTGATTATGTTGTGCTGTTTCTGTCCCCATTCTGTTTCCACTTGCAAAAATTCAGCACACCTCCACGTAAGTCACTACAAGTTACTTCAGATCAACACTTGTTTAGCTTGGAATTGATTTTATCCTTTCTCTGGTATATTATTTAGTCTCATACACTTTGCTAGTGCATGGTATTTATAATTGTTCTGAATGTAATTAAAGTGGAACTGCTATGAAGTAACCCAAGAAAATTGGACAAAATAATTTTGTGGCTGTAGTCACTGGGCGTGTAACAGCTGAAAAAGTAATGTGATATTGTGGTATCTGTTGATGGATTCATAGTCAGTCATTTTGTTGTAGTTTTACACATACGAAAAAAACCGAACACTGTAGAACACCCCAGATAATTTTAGCTTCCTCCAGCTTGCCCAAGAGCTCTGCTTCCCATGGTTTTCCATCTTGCCAGTGGATAAGCTCTCATTCTCTCTTTGTCCAGTGGAGGTGTGAGATCAGAACAGGTTATGCTAGAATAAAAATTGTACCTTTCTATATTATGGTTGTTCTACCTCAAACACATGCTGTGTCAAATGACAGTCATGTAAGAGCAGGGAGTAGAGTTCATAGAGTCATAGAATCCTTAGAATTGGAAGGGACCTCTAAAGGCCATCCAGTCCAACTCCCCTGCATTGAAGAGGGACGTGCACAGCTAGACCAGGTTGCCCAGTGCCTGATCCAGCCTTGCCTTGAAAATCTCCAACGACAGGGTAACCACCATATTTCTGGGCCACCTGTTCCAGTGCCTCATCACCATCACTGTGAAAGACTTTTTCCTTATGTTTAACCTAAATCTTCCCTCTTTAAGCTTGAAGCCGTTTCTCCTTGTCCTGTCACGGCAGACCCTGCTAAAGAATCTGTCCCCCTTCTTTCTTGTAGCTCCCTTTAGATATCAAAAGGCCGCTCCCAAGTCATCTTGGAGCTCTCCAACAGGTCTGTGTCTCTCCCATACTGAGGCAGTACTCAGTACTGAATGCAGTACTCCAGGTGAGGCCTCACCAGTGCAGAGCAGAGGGGCATGGTCATCTCCCTTGCCCCACTGGCCACACTTCTGATGATGTCTAGGATACTGTTGGCTCTCTGGGCTGTGAGGGCACATTGCTCATGTTCAGCTTCTCATCTACCAGTACTCCCAGGACTTTTTTTGGCAGGTCTGTGTTCAATCCTTTCATCCCCCAGCTTGTATTGGTAATGGGTATTGCCTCAACCCAGGTGGAAGACCTTGCACTTAACACTGTTGGCACTGTCCACAAACAAACAAAACAACCTAGGTTTTTGTTTCTTTTTAATAATTTTTATATTTTCATAAAAAGTCCTGACCTTTTGAGTACTACTTTGTATTACCAGGACCAGTTCACCTGCCCGGATGAGTATGAGGACCCAGCAGTCCTGTATGAAGCAATCCAGTCTTTTGAAGAAAAGGTTGTTATCTGCCATGAAGGTGACCCAGCCTGGCGCAGTGCTGTCCTCTCCAATAGAGAAGAGCTGCTGACCCTGAGGCATGTGGTAGATGAAGGAGCGGATGAATATAAAGTTATCATGCTTCACAAAAGCTACTTGAGCTTCAAGGTTATCAAGGTAAACAAATCATCTTTCTATTATTGCAGTAACTTAGGTCTGTAGTTATAAATATCATTTCTGAGTATTCTGGCTAAAAGAAGGGGTTGATCATAGCTATCAGAGAAGGAATTAGAGGCCGGGGGAGAGTTCTGTTCATTTCACTTTTATTTTCCACCCTTGTATTTGTTCATCACAAATAACATCCCGGGTTTATCCAGGGAGTAATTGCTCATGAGTTTTATCAAACCTGTTGGTACAAAGATACAAGATAAAGATGCTTGCAACTACTACTACAGTTCTACAGAGATTATGTAATTCTGTATCTGAAATGTTTTTACGTGGTCCACGCTGTTTTTTACCTGTAGGTCAACAAGGAGTGTGTCAGAGGACTGTGGGCTGGGCAGCAGCAGGAACTAATCTTCTTGCGCAATCGTAACCCAGAGAGAGGGAGCATCCAGAACAACAAACAGGTCTTGAGGAACTTAATTAATTCTTCATGTGATCAGCCACTGGGATATCCAATGTATGTTTCCCCTTTAACCACCTCATACCTTGGGACACACAGCCAACTGAGGAACATATGGGGGGGACCAGTCAGTTTGGACAACATTAAAAAGTGGTTCAGATCCAAATGGTTAAGGTAGGTGTTAAATTTTGGTCTTGCAGATAGACACCCTGTAGTCTTAGTTCAGCTGTATTTTTCTGTTAAGGGAGTAATTGCATATTGTTATCTATGAGTAAAACAGTTGCACCTAACTCAAGATGTAATAAAATAGCCCTACAGATATGGCTGAAAGCATTAACTTATTCTTTTCTTTTAATTAAAATTTTGTATGCTTGTCAAGATTTGTTATCAAACCACTTATCAGTACAAGCATTTCCCTTTTCTGGGGAAATTTTACTCTTTATGCCCCATAAACAAAGGTGTATTTTCTGTAACTCAGTGATGTGTCAAAACATGAGGAAATGCACTGATGGTTACGATGGGTTATGCGCCGCAACTTTGTCAATATAGATCATCATCTCCACATCACTGCTCATGTCCAAAGCACATCTAAAAATGTACTTACAATCCACCAAAACTGACTGATTTCCCCTAGGTTCGCATAGCAGGTATGACACCTTCTGTTTCTCATTCATGTGTGAACTCTTCCTACAGTAACAGGGCTATGTGTCTCTTTCTCTCTGCCTGTCTTTCTGCTGCTGTGGCTGAGAAATAGAGGACAGCTTTATGGAAGCCAGCTTGACTGCTAAGGCCAATGCTGAAATACTAAGATTAAGTCTGGTGGCTTGATATGAAAGTTTCCCAGTGTGCAGGTCACTCCCACTGAGCGCTTCTTTATGACTTAGTGGCTCCGTGCAAAATGTTCTTTAAACATCAATATAACATTTCTCCTAGTCTCCAAAGTTGGGTAACGATTTTGGTTTGTATCACACACAGTTATGTCTCAACTAACCTTACCATGCCATAAAGTGCTGAAAGACTCATAGTTGTATGAGAAAGTATGATTATACATTGTGGGGATACCTAACATTGGTAGCACGAGTTCTCTGTGCATATAGACTGACCTCTGTGTTTGTTCATGCAAATAGGATGCGTAAGGACTGTCATGCAGCTCACCATGACAGAGGCAACGTTGAAGAAGCAGATACTGGAGGAGCATCTGGCAGCACAGGTAACTCAAGCCAGAGTAGCAGCTCGCAGCACACCAGAGATGGAACCCCTCAGTTGCAGCCTTCATCGCAAGAGGCCCACCAGCGTGCAGGTATTTGCACAATTTACTTGTCTTTTTCTGTAGTTTTCTCACCAGGGGCCAAATGAGCAGATGCTTTCAGGGCTCTCACATATCCAGTGAAAAACTAATTTTAGAAAGACCAATCTTTGGCTTTCCTAGAGACCAAGCATGTGTAGGAGATGTCTTAGCTGATGCACTTCCAGGTATTTACTGCAAGAGCATAAAGCTAATGTGTTTCATGTGGCTCACCAGAGATTTCACTGTCAGGTTACTTCATGTCTAATTTTCGGAGTGGGAGATACTGCTTGCAGTATGAGAAATTCAGATGGAGGGAGTCCACATATGATGCCCATTCACTTTGCACGGTGAGCCTGTGCTTACTGTTTTTGGGAACAGCAGAACTGAGAAGTCTGCAAAAATCTTCATTATTTTAGAAGGAGCGTGACAGTTTATTGTGGGAATTAGCCTGGCTGTTCATTAGTGCATGTGGAGAATAAACAAATAGCAGGTAACTTAGTATGCCAATAGAGCAGTTATCAGGAGAAAATTAAATGTTGCCAATCATTCCGTCACTTAACAGCTGAGCCCTTTTTATATTAAATTATGGATTCAAAAGTGCTTCAGATGTGTTCACGTGGTGGAACTGCTGGCCTTCACATTAGGAATACCCATTAAGTTTGCCAGTTGGGTCACTGGGAGATCTTCCCTAAGGGACAGGGATTTGCTGAAAGGTCAAATTAATTGACTTTACAATACAAGTTGTGGTATTACTGTGTCATTTAAGGAGGAGAACTAGAGGGATCTAGCACCTGTTTGTTTCTTGTTAAATCATTTTGACCCATCATTAAAAATAATGGACAGGACCAGAGAAAACCTTGCTGTGAATATGAGTCGTGTCGTAAGGATAAAATAACTACTGCTTTTTAATTAAGTCTAGCTTTAGAGCAATCCCCATGTGCATACTTATAACTTGACACTGCAGTAATCAGAATGGCAAACTTAATTGTAAAATAACGATCCCGAGCATACCGTGCAATAATGAAAATTAATTGTGAATTGCTTAAAAGAATGTATTGGGTATCCAGCAACCCATAGTTAAGAGTGGTCACACTTAATTAAGAAAAGCTACCTGGCTTTCAGGTAAAATGAAGAAATGCACAACAAATGCAAGGAAATGGAAAACAGCAAAGGTAAACCAGAATTCAGTCCTGAGAGACGGTGAGAGAAAAAGAAAATGAATGTTCTGTCTAGCACCATTAGGAACAGTAAAAATAAAGCCAGTTTGGTGCTGTTTCTTTTTTAAGAACATTAGAAACAAAAGAAATTGTAACAGCAGTCTTGAGTCATCACTATAGAAAGACAGAGTTGTCAGTAATGTAGAAAAGAATGTGTCTGTTTTCTATTCAAGAAAATGGAGGTGATCTGTGGTCTGATCATGAAGTAGTTCCTTGCATCCTCTCAGCTACAAAGAACATTAAGGAGCAGCTATCAAAGCCATGTGCTTAATTGAACAAATCCAAATAGCTCTCATTCAAGATGGTTTTTAAAAGAGCTGGTGAAGAAGCCAGCTCTGTCTGATCTTCAGGAAGTATCAGGACCGTGAGGCTGTACCAGAGCACTAGCAGCAAACTTACTGTACGTCAGATCTTAAAAAAGATGTGACCAACACAGCTGTGTTAGTCTGACTGTGCATCAGGACACTGGTGGCCTCCCATGCATAATCCTGGTGCCCTGATTTAAAAACAGGTATAATTCGGAAGGAGATTAAAAAAAAAAAAAAAGAAGATAAAAAAACTGGGAGATGTCCTGTAGGGAAAGATTAGAAGCTTTCCAACAATTCATATTGTAAAAGTTGCTTTGAACGTAGTCTGCCAGTACTTACCTGGGCAACAGCAGGTGACCAAAGACAGCTGGTTGTAGCAGGTACAACAAAGCTGAACAAATTCTAACTTGAAGTGGTCATTTTTTAGCAGTGAGAGTAAATAGAGTAATAAGTAACTATAGATTAAGATAGATTCTCCATGACTGCAAACGTTGGATGCATTTCTAAAAAGTAGTTAGTTCCAGGAAGATCTTCAGCCCACGCTACATAGCGTGGCGGTGATCCCTTCTAGTCTCACAGTGTATGAATTGAGTGCGTTTCATGCTTTTGTATTTCATATTTCATTTTGTGGCCCAGTGCCACTGAATCTACAAAATGTGTTTGAAGCTCTATTTAAAAGTGCGACAAAAATGGGGAGCATTGGGAACGTGTGGGGTTCTGTTCCAGAGCATCCTTATTTCACGATGCGGTTTGCGGAACAGCCTTTGTTTCCTAATTGCTTTCAGGGACAGAGTTATTTCTGTGCAGATACGGGTGGTCCCCTGTCCAGTGCTCTAACCACTGCATTTGGGATGAGCACTGAACGCTTTTGGGCAGCGGTCAGCTTGGAAGCGTAAATCACAAACAGATGTTTGGCCACATGAGCCCCTGCACAAACACGCACCGCAGCCCCTCGGTTCCAATCCATGCTTTTCATTTAAGAAGGTAACTTAGTAGAATGACCATCAGATGTAGAAACCACAGCACTTGCTTAAGGAAACCCCTGATCCTTAAAAGCCCGCAGCTCACAGCTGATGTCTGCCTGTTGGTCACAGCTGGAGCACAGAGACATAGGAGAGCTGCAGCGAGAGCCACATGCATCTGTCCCACTGCTCACATGGACTATAAGGCTTTCATTGTCAGGGATGCTGCTCCACATGTCATTTTCAGAAATTATTTTTTTATTGCTCTGAGTGTAACAGTAGAAATAATGATATATTGTAAACAGGATGGAAAAGTGTCTGGTGCTTGCCAAACCACCAAGGATTTAGACCAGCTGAATGGCTGCAGAGAGGTTACGGCCAAGCTCTGCCATCTGACTCTGTGTCAGGATGCCTCAATTCTCTTTGCTTCGGAATCTGAAAAACTGGGGTAATCCCAGCCTTGGAAGGCAGACCTGTGGGTGTAAAATGGCTATAAGGTGTAAATAGCTCGGGTGTGAAATTCTGTGTCACTGGAATCCTTGAATTCAGCAATCATAGTTCACTGAGACAGTATGAGATGTATGCTGCTTTGTGCTGCAGCACTTCAGTATTTGGAGGGTTTCCAGTGCTTCCCTCCCCTCCATAATTCTGGTATTATTACCACCAACCTGGAAATGCCTGCCAGACTTGCTTCTCCTTGGTGGATCTCAACAGGTTTTCTGCCTTTAGCCTTTTACCCCACAGCTATAGCTAGAAAATCCAAACATCAGCTCATATTAGTGTCTTGAGTTTCCTGGAAAGGAAAAGCCAGGCAGGGCCTCACGTGACTGGGTATTGGCTGCCTAAGCCTGGGTTGGTCTGTCCGCAGAAGCAAAAAACCCTGTAGGGATCTGTAGTGCCAACCTGCTGCATGCCACCTGTTGGGTTCACTGGCCTATGAACTGGTTTACTTTTTATTCTGTGCCAATTCATATATACAAGCATAAGAAATACGGAAATGCTTTGTTTGCATTACAATAGTTGATGTAAATGTTTTAAGAAGTGTGTGGAGAAGATATACGTATAGGAAGATAGAAGTTGCACAGACAGCAGAATAGTTTATATGCTCTGTGTACAACAGTGGTGTGCTGAGATGCTGCACAGGCTGGATGTAAGGTGGACAGTCAGCATCCCCTCCTTTAGTGTGGTTATCAAGAGAGAGTGGAGCCACAGCAATGCTGTGCTTGAACAGTGCACACAGTGCAGCTTAGGATGTGCATGGCAGAACTGGCCCAAATTCCTCTCTCCTCTCCCAGTGCTGAACCACTACAGTGGAGAAAAAAGAAAGGTTCCTGGGTTTAACAACTTCTCATGCCTGTGATTCTAGGCTTCTTTTAGTGATAAATCCCACAGTCATGTGCCAACAGTAATATATGCGCACAGGACATTGTCAATAGCATGGATTTCCTCAGGATGCCACTACAGGCAGCATTTAAGGATATTTATTACTCTTTCTTTTAAAGGCAGGAGGAAACACAGGAGTCAGTCTGTCCAGGCACACGCTGCTTTAAACCAAAGGCCCCCTGTTTCAAGTCACTCTGGACCAATCGCAGAAAGCCGCCAGCCTTTCATGCAGACATCTACATCTGCCCACGAGATCGCCCAGCGGCTCTCAAGCAGCCAGCTGTCACTCCACAACTCGGCCACGTCTGTGTTTTCTCAGTCCCCTGCCGTTCCCACTGCTGGCCAGCTGACTGTGCAGGACCGAGCTGCTGCGATGCTCAGGTCCAGTCTGGCCTCGTCCACCAGCTCCACTCTCAGCCTGCTGTTTGGCAAGAGAAGTTTTTCAAGTGCTTTGGTGATTTCTGGGCTCTCAGCTGCAGATGGAGGTAACACCAGTGACACGCAGTCGTCCAGCAGCATGAACATCGCCATGGGTCCTTCTGCTAGAGCAGCAAGTCAGGGAACTCGGGTAAGGCTGAAGCCCTAACAGCAGCGCTGACCACGAGCTGCTGTGCTGTTCACTGTCAGGTCCCTGTAACATCTTCACCACTGTTGGGTTTCTTCTTTCTCACATCCAGAAAACAGTCTTTTCTAGATTTTGGTATTTAAATTTTGCATCGCAATGAAATTGAGACTGCGTGTGTGTGTTACAAGTGATGAATTCGTTAGTAAGGGTAAGCTGGCTGTTTAAAACATACCTTAGAATCCAGCCTGGGGCAAAGTGCCTTTTCTTTTCACTGAGACCAGAGACGCAGTTCTGTTTTAGGTGATAACTACTATCATGAGCAGACTAAGCAGTTCCTTTCCTGCTTGCTTACCCAGGACTGAATTATTTGTACAAAAATGAATGGCTCCCACTGCACTTTTTCTGTTACCCTCTCTGACCTGAAATGCAGTCCAGGACCTTTGGACCTTGTCGCTGAAAGGGTTAGGCAAAGGAAGTCTGTAGGAAGTATTTCCAAAAGGAAACTAAAAGCTTATGCTCTGTGAATCAGCATTTTCTAACAGAAAAACAGAACACAGAAATAACTTGCAGCCTTCGTCCCAGTAGGCTTCCAGTTCAGCTCCCCTCAATTCATCTGCTCTGGAAAATTCAAGGGATGTAGTAGTGTTACTGTTTCATTGTCTCTTGAAATGTATTTCTTTCACTTTGATGGCCATGGGCTGCTTTCCTGTATTTTGAAATGTTTCTTCTAAAGAGCAGTAATATGAAAAGATGAATCAGAGATAAAGGGCAGGGCTGCAACTAGAGGCTGACTGACAACGTAATTAAGACCGACTTTGACAGTTGGCCTATCAAAATAGAAGTGAAATTGGCAGCAAAAAATGGTATCCTGGGCTCCATCAGAAGAGGGGTGGCCAGCAGGGACAGGCAGCTGATTGTCCCCCTCTACTCTGCTCTTGTGAGGCCCCATCTGCAATACTGCGTCCAGGTCCAGCCCCCAGTACAAGACAGAGAGCTGTTGGAAAGGGTCCAGAGGAGAGCCACAGAGATGATCAGGGGACTGGAGCACCTCCCTATGAAGACAGGCTGAGGGAGCTGGGCTTGTTCAGCCTGGAGAAAAGAAGGCTGTGGGGTGACCTCAGTGCAGCCTTTCAGTACCTAAAGGGAGCCTACAAACAGGAGGGGAATCAACTCTTTGAAAGGGTTGATAACAGCAGGACAAGGGGAAGTGGTTTTAAGTTGAGGGAGGGAAGATTGAGGTTGAAATTCTTTACAGAGAGAGTGGTGAGGTGCTGGAACAGGCTGCCCAGAGAGGCTGTGGATGCCCCGTCCCTGGAGGTGTTCAAGGCCAGACTGGATGGGGCCCTGGGCAGCCTGGTCTAGTATTAAATGGGGAGGTTGGTGGCCCTGCATGTGGCAGGGGGGTTGGAGATTCATGATCCTTGAGGTCCCTTCCAATCCTGGCCATTCTGTGATTCTGTGAACAGGAAAACTGAGGATATGGAAAGTCCAAACTACTTTTCTTCTAATATTCTGAATTGTATACAACCTCCCCAATTTTCAAAGACTTCTCTAAATCACAAGTAAAAAAAGCTCCCTAGTCTGTGTGTATTTTGCTCTCAACCCAAAAATGCCATGTATGGTATAGTTCATGAGGTTTTGCCATTAGTTTCAAGAGAAGTTGACTGAATATTACTCACCTGGATCCAATCCTGCTTCAGCACTCTAATAAGCATTAGAAATGTGTACAGCTGAACATATCAGGCGACAGGGCACAATGCCAACTCTCTACAATTTCCAAGGTAATTTGTAAGCATTCAGCATGTGTGCAGTTGTGAGTAACAGTGAAGTGATTCACCTCATCTACCTTTAAGACATGGCATTTGGGTATGGAGTCTCAGTAGGTCACAGAGGTGTTGCCTCTGTACTCAGCAGAGAGGACAATCCAATTCATCCTTACTGCTGTCAGGAGGAAATCTTCCTCTTGGAGACTCATCAGTCTCTGCCAACCACTGACAGCCTTGAATGATACACCTCAAGAGTTACATTTAGATGAGGTGAGTTCTGGCCAAAAAGTAACTGCTCTGAGTCCAGGCACCTATTTGATTGAAAGTACTACGGAGGTATCTGACTTACACCTTAATACAGCATGGTTCTGGAAAGCTTTCATACTGATGGAGTTCTTACAGTGAGGTGACGGTGTGCATAACATTTTCAGGCTGGTAATTGCATTCCAGTTCTGCGGCAAAAGTTCCTTTGTGAGTTGGATTTAAAATTTGGTGTATTATACAAGCCCCAGACTAACCCGATTTCACTTCTTAGAAGCTGGCCCTGCTTGAAGCAGGGGTTTGGACTGGATGACCTCCAGAAGTCCTTTTCAATCCAAAGTACTTAACAGCTCTCTGTGCTTGTACATCTGTGGCACTAAACCTCTAGCTCCTCTGCTTTTCTTTCCAAATGTATGCATTACAAATACCTGTTCAGTCTTCAGAAGTCCCTTGTGAATTATGCATGTTAAGAATCCCATGCAGTCTCACAGAACGACATTCTTAAATCAATTTTTAACTCCTTCACCCGTCACTTCAAAAGAACCCTGAAGTGTTACTTACATTCTGTTTCCTGAGCTCATTGACTCCTCTTTCCCTCTGCAGCAGCTCACCGAGACCTGCGATGCGACTGATGCGACAGAATCGAAACAGCGTCGAGAGCAAGGGCTGTCCCATGCCATGCTCATGAGTCAGACCCTGGAGTGCCGAAGGGCCAGCCAGGAAGACATGGCCCTGGAAGACACAGCCTCCCAGCAAAGCCTGTCTGAGGAGCAGTAAGGATTATTGGTAGCGCGAGGGCCACACGTTTCTCAGAATTCGAGACAGAGTTAAGTCAGGGAGCTGCAGGTGGGTTTATGTTCTTTCAGATTTAACACGTAACCTCCAAACGTTTATTTTTCTAACTTTTAAGCAGGAATATGACAGGGCACGTGTTCTTCAGTTAAAGGCTTTTGGCATGGGTAGGGTTGGAAGATGTTCTAAAAATCATGGTGCCACTTCATCTCAGGTTCTTGTAAATCCTACAGCAATGAACACAACCTGTGTGACATTCCTTCCCATGCAGAGGCACTGACCCACTAGTGGTGACAAAATAAAGCGTAACAGGTGGTGAATGAATGAATACAATAGGAGATACTAACACAACTTAGTGAAAAGCACACGAGACATCTTTCCTGTCATAGCTAGACAGCTGATTGCATGCAAACTAATTGGCATTTGATATATAATGTATAACAAAAGACAGCTTTGAAGAGAAGCAGTGAACATGTACAAGGACAGTACAACGTGTGCTGGAACATTAGACATAAATCTGATTTTTCTTCCCCAACAGCAAATCTCTTTATTTTCCTCCGACACGTTATGCAGGTGGTAATTATGAATAGCAACATAGCATCACGCAGACTGATATACTGCATGCAGCTATACTGAAACTTTGTGTGAACGAACCTTGCTAAACACATTAATAAAAGTCAAGCGCAAGAAAGAAAGTAGCCAGTGCATGGAAAGCCTTCACAAAGCATACGGTGCACCTTATCTGCAAAGAAAGCAGCTCTCTATTAACAGCTGCTCTTAGGTATAATCTCATGCTCCTGTTTGGTTTACGACAGTGTTTCTCAAACTGCAGGCAACCAGCTCTCCTGGGAGATGCAAAAGGGCCCGGGAGAGTTCTCCCCGAGGACAGCAAAGTGCAAAGCAGGCTGTAATTACTGTCTGCGTTTGTATTGGGCAGGGAGCAGCTTGATGCCTTTAATTGCTGGACACAGTTCAGTGTCCATAAACACGTGTAGCCAGTAATTACACAGAGCTCCAATTTCCCTCCCCGAGAGAAACTGAGCTGCTGCCAGTTTAACAGTTGCATAAAGACAGATGAAGCAAAAAGAGAGACTGTGCTTTCACAAAGTTTGAGAAATACTGATTTACAGGAATGCATGACTGTTTTGGAAGCCAGAAGGCTACAACAAATCCTTAATGTAATATAGGGCATAAACACATACGCGTTTTGTTTTGTTTTTTTTTTAATTAAAAAATTTGCAGCTATCTGTGTTTTGCTGTCCCTCTTCACTGTAACTACCACGGACTGTTTCTAATTCTCCTCATGATAATGTGCAGCCAGGCTGTCCCAATTAACAAGGAAGCTTTAACGAGAGATGCCCCACCTAAGAGTCATTGGCATTAGATGATACGCTGTTGCTTCCGAGCTTCCTAGCGTGCCACACTTGAGATGACAAGCAGTAGAACCAAATAACAGCAAATAAAAATAAAACCATCCAAATATGCTTTGCGTGGCAGCAGTTTTCCAGTTTCCTCTTTCATTTTGAATTCTTTTCACTTTCTACTTGTTATGCAATGGAGAAATCTATTGTTTTTCTTTCATGTAGATCTTGACAAATTCGTTCTTTATAATGCTCAGCATAATCTAAGCAACATTCTGCTTGCGTTTACAGGCGCAAAAGCAGATTGATACTCTGTATTCCCTGAGACGCACAGCCATCAGAGTAGCTCAGGCGGTGCTGCTGCCTCCTGCAGCCTCCACATGTGATGTGGAAGAACAACCTGAATGCAGCTGCTCCTTTCTGACCACTTCTGGCACATACGACCTCTCCCACCACCCTGCTGGCAGCGTGCTTGGCACTCATTACACAGGACAAAGAAGTTATGGGTGTAGGTGGGGGACTCTCAGTTTCAGGCACCAGCCCTATTTCTCCTTTAGGGGCTTTGCAGTCTCCTGGGATAAGCCACCAACACTGTCTTCCTGGGCTGTTATGCGCAGAAGTGGGGCAAATAGCTGCAGAAAGCACTAAGCTTTCCCAGGTTAGCCTCACCCAGGCTTATGATTGTCAAATCTCAAACTAAAACTTGAATTAACTTCTATCAAAAACAACTCTGTTGGTCTCAACCAACCAAAATTATTCTGTGCATCTACTTCAAGCAAACTAAACCACACGAGAAACAACTGCCCTTCTTCTGGCTGCATTCACTTGACACCAATGGTGACACGTTCCACCATCACCACTTCTTCAAGAGACTCACCCATATCCATGGCCTCTCTGCACCCTACGAAAACCACCTCACAGTTCCTGTCTGAGGTAAATCCACCAGGGCCTGGAGGACATGAGGTGCAATGAGGCTCAGGCTCCTGCTGTGCAGGGCAGCTATCAGAATAGGCAACTCCTGTGTGCAGGCACAGCACACAAGCAAGACTGGGATTCAAACAGAAGTGAGTTCTATTAGTATCCTAATACAGGTTTTCTTTTTGCTAAAGGTGTTACTGTAGCACAGCGGGTTGAAAAGCAGAAGAGGGGCCATTACTAATAGTATCAATTAAAAAACAACAACAACAAACAATAACCAAAGATGGTAGCAGAAATTCTCCTCAATGTTGCATTTCTACATGATTTTGGAGATAGCAGGGCTGATGTTACTAAAACTGCTGCTATGTGCAGTGTTTTTAGATGTGGTCCAATGCCACAGAATTATCACAAGCGATGGTTAGAAATAAAACCTGCAACCGGGTACGAGGTTGTACTGACTAAAAAGAGACAAACCCAGTTAATTATTCTACATCAGTATGTGATGGAAGATACATTTAACACATCTTTTCCTTGGAAGAAATCTGTCCACCAGAGCAGTCAGTACATACAGTTCTTTCATAGAGATGGCAGCAGGGATGACGAGATGGAGCCCCCACCTGCTGCTCAGCTTGTCCCCAGACAATAGCACTGCTGCTGAAGAGAAACATGGCATGGTTTAATCCATGCTGCCTCGACGAGCCCCTTAACATGAGAGAGCAGGGAGGAACACATCCAGCAAGTACAGCAAGCTCCAAGCAGGAGGTTGACAACTGTATGGTGCAACAAGCACAGGTACAGCACTTCAGCCCTTATGTGTGTGTGTTATAAAGTGTGGGACATTCACCACCTGCCCTCATTTTGCTTTCCTAAACTCTCTTTTCACTGGTGAGCTCTTGTTCACATCACACAGTGAAAGCTGAGTGAGAAAATCCTAAGGGTGAAACGTGCCCAGAGCAGGCCAGAAGACGTTAGTAGCACTTTATGAAAGCCAACTGGAAGCTGCAGAACTGCTTACAGCCACCAGGAATGCCAGCAAGCCCTCAGTGTGGCCTTCAGACCAGCTGGTTCCTACCACAGGAAGCAAGAAGCAAACAGTGATGGGCGCTATTCCCAAAAGTAAGTTCATCCCAAAATACAAATGCCATAAGTCCAGCACGTCCCTCTATTTTGAAATGTTTAAAAAGGTTTTATATATGTATACATACATATATGTACTAGTAAGGAACTCGAGCTGCCACTAAAAAGTCTCACCTTGTTTCTGCACACAGAAAATTTTGACATTCATGGTATTTAAGACAAACATTATCGAAAGCACTTACCTACCACTGGGATTCTTTATCCCTTGCTAAGACAGACAGGTACTCTTAGTCTAAAACTCTGAAGTTCTTGGAGTCTCTGCAATGCTACCTGCATTTTTAAAGAGCTATTAGTAGCATTTGGTTCCAACTCAAGTGAGTGCACTTCTCTTGCTGGGGAATTTAAGTTAAAGATTAGCTGAATTCTATGCAACTCGTAGAAGATTAGGATTATCAGTGAAATCCTCCAGCACATAATAAGCATCATCTCATCAATGCTTTTTTATTTTAAACTACCCAATTATTGCCATTTTTAGATTGCTCCCTGGACTGGGAGCTGGTATTTACAGCATTTCACTGCTGCTTGTACAACCTGAAATCTGCAAGACAGACATCTTACTTATAATTAACTTTGCAGTAGGTCCAGTGTTGAAGATTCACCTCTCATTCAGCCTTCTCAGAGTATTACAAGTCAGAAATGGTCTAATGCATGATAAATAATACAGGCCCTGTTATTCCACACTGTGTGCTATTTATGTTGGATTACAAGCCTCCTTGCCAAAAATGTCCTCAATTCTCAGGCTTTGAGAAAATAATTGGTACCTCACAGTCCCCTCTTTTTTGCACCAATTAAAACCTGCAGGTGCACTAATGTTGTCATCTGGAATCTTGCTGTTACATCAGAGGTTATTTTCACCAAATGTGTGCTATTAGTAAAATTAGCCCATCAGGTGAATGCTGTTTGTTGTTACAGTTCTGTCAAGGCTTTCCAAATATTTTACTAGTGTAAGACCAGAGAATACATTTTTTATCTCTGAAGTAAACACAGAAGCTAACTTCAGTTGCTAATACTGCTTTCTCAGTGCGTATTTGGGACAGGCAAATCATTTCTTTAGGACTGTCTCAGAACACAAAAGCCAGAAATGACTGTTGAAACCATTTAGGTTCTCCTGCTGAACACAGATCACAAAATTTCTCTTTATTTCTCTTAAAAGCACTGTGTAGCTCAGAAGATGGATTTAAAGAACAGCAACAACAACAACAAAAGACAAAACAAAACGACTCACCAATCTAGAGCCAGGCAGCAAAAAGAGCCACTAATGGCAGTGGCAAAAAATACCCTCTTGTTTAAAAGGCTGATGTTTCATTCACAGCAGAGAAGGAAAAATTCACCTCCATTTTGGGTAAGTTGTTCCAGTGACCGACTCCCCTCGCTAAACAAGGTCCCATCAGCACGCTGCTCAAAACTTAGCAGAGCTGAAGATTCTTTTTTTTCCAGTCCAATTATGGAATGCAGTGAGCAGGGCAATATACTTACTCTTATGAGGAACAAACATCACGAGGTGATGCAGCTCTTAACACTACTGCCTGAACTGCAGTTTGGAAATCTGAACTCTGCTGTCATCACTCCTGAAGAAATTCCCCTTCCCAGCCTTCACTTAAGTATCAAATATCTCCATTTTAGATTTAAAAGTCAGACCTTCTTTAACACTTCTGAAAATTTTGGTAACTATTTAATCATTGAAAGAAATATTATTCTACAGCGTGCTTTATAGCTTAACTCATTCCACTGAAATTATCAGGTGTTCAGCATGCAAGAACAGAGAGGCTTATGCTCCAAAGTCTATGGCACACAGCCCTAAGAAACTGCTTTGTCTTGAGTCATCTAACAAGGTGTCTTAAGAATGCTTTGGATTTTAAATTAACAAACAGACAACAAAAAGCACCAAGCAACCACTGCAGGAGTTCCCAGGCTCCATAGTTTAGATACCTGCATTCCAGAAATTAAATTTAGATTACGGCTTCCATAAACATCTCCTTTCTGAATGAAGTTCTTGTTCCCTTCCAGTAACTCCATTTTGAATATATCGGTATGTTAAAAGTCACAGTGGCCAGTATCCTCTCCTTGTTCAGCAAATTAAACAAGGGCATGAAAGAATTAATAATTTTATGTCATCAAAAATTCTGGGCTGGGTAGATTTTTATTCCAAGAGCCTCCAGCTTTATACTGTGTTCAGTAAATAACAGAGTAAAGCAGGAGCAGCAGACACTGCTACCAGAGGCAATGAATGGTAAATGCTGGGGCAGGAGCTAGACATATTTCATTCACAACAGTTCTACTTCTTGTTGCAAGTCCTGTACAGGCAGAATTTGGAGCCCTTCATCCTTTTTGTCTGACAACAGTCAGATGCCTGTACTAATGAGGGGACTATGAAGACCTTGAAGACACAGCTTTTTATTGTGAAAAGCAGGCCAGAGCTCCATATTCCTAAAGGAGGGGATCTCTGAATTCTCTTTTTTCCAGACGTGAAAGCTGTACTGTTATCCAAATTAATGTGACCAGAATAGCTGTGTAATGGAGCTGTCAAGGAATAGGGCCACTGTGTCCTTTAACCCTTCTCCCATCTAAAGAGGGACAATGTCAGAACCAGACTGTTAACCAAATGCAGAGTGTCTCTTCTCTTTCCTGTAAGCTCCCAGCACCAGGGCATCTGTAAAAAAAAAAAATGCTTGTTCCCATCCACATACATAGAACTACTGGTATCAGTTTACACAGAAACAAGTAACAAGAACAATGCTTGAAAATGCCTTTAGTTTGCTCACTTTAACAGTTGTTGAACTGAACACAAGAGTTAAGAAGCAACTGAAGCCTTAACTTACAGCCAAAGATGACTATAAATCATACAGTGAACAAGTGTGCACCTGGGAGGGAATTCTGTTTTAACAACATGCAAAACTGATTAGGTGGTAGCACTTTCCCTGAATACATTCGCAAACCTCAGAGGAAAAAAATACATTGTCTAATACTCTCACTCACTCTTTATATCACCACTAACCATTATGTGTGTACAGGATTGAGTAAGGAAAAAAAACTACATAAACAACAACAAAAAAAGTATCAGTAAATGCAATGGCTTGAAAATCCCCATACAGAGACACGTGCAGTATTAGGTCGATCCTGACCTCATAAACTCCGCATGGAAAACACGTCAAGACTTGACTCAGTCTCGTGAAGCTAAAAGGGTTATGTTCTGTCACACCAAGGCCACAAGTTCTGGTTCCTCAATGCACATTATTGCATGGGAATTACAGACCACGAATTGTCCTCCAACAGAAATGTCCTCAACATTCTGAAAGACAAAGATCTCCAAGACATTTGGCAGCTAATTGCTTTTATGTGGTGAAACAGGATCAGAGTCAGACCGTTTACCTTTTTCAAATACCCAAGTTGAAGTTTCACATTAACTACAGATCTATTGAATTTTTAAATGGATCAGCTTGTGAACGGGATAAACAAGAATCCTTCTATCTTAACTTTCATATTGTGGAGCAATAGCAGCTTTACCTTGCTTACCCAGGAAGCTCTAGTGACCCTTCAGGGGCTTACATAGGAAGGACAGACTAGAACATCCACAAGTTTAATGTTTTATAAAAATAAAAGCTTTAGTTATGAAGTAATAAAAGCTTTACAAGCAAGAAAAGGTCTTCATTGCCTGCATGACTCCACAGCTGCCAAGATGTCCTGCAAGATGTTGTTCCTGTTTTCTTTACTGACCTAGAAAAAGAGAAATTAAAACAGATGTAATTGGATGAGTAACCTCCATATGATGTTTTACTTCAAAAACAAAGCAGAAATTCAAGTGCATTTCATTCTTGGTAAGGGAATGCTGAGTGTCAAACACCAGCCTTCTTGTGCTACCAACAACACATGAAACTAAACCCACAAAACTGCACACGATTTAATTACTCATGGATACCCACTGCTCGGATACCCAAGGCTTGAATAACTAACAGAAATTGCTCAAAAAACCATCGAGTACTTCTGTCATTACTAGAAATCCCTTCCATTTACTAAACCTCATTTTTCTACAATAAAGAGGAGGTCTTACACCTTCAGTGCTTGAACAGACTGTATTTCTATCGATGACAGGGCAAGTAAAAAGCATCCTCAATGAAAAAATTAGAACTGGCTTAACAACAGCACAACTGTGCAATGAGAAGCCTTAGCACTGCAGGACAGAAACACCTTGAAAGAGAAATAAAACTATGGGATAAAAGCTGGGGAACTTTTATAGTGCACTGAGGTATGTCCTTTGTTTACCAGTCCCTGGAAATGTTGGACTTTTAACACCAGCCCAGGTGAAAATCCATACAGTCCAGCACCCTGTCTTCTGCCAGGTCCACCTGTGGTTGCAGCATCTGCAGACTACTGTAAATTGCCAAAGCAATGTTACCACTTCCTGGCCAGCTCAGCCCCTGGGTCCAGCAGTGACACAGTACAGAACTGTGGGGCTGGGGGTTGCAAATTTCCCATTCTTGAAGACTCTGTCCTGATACAGTCACCTGCATTACGTGCATGACCACAGCATTACTAGCTCAACCATCACTTGGGGAGAGGGCTGGAGTGGTGAAAGGGCTAAAAAATTGCTAAGTATCAGTAAAAGCTTCATTTAAAAAGCTTAAGGAAATAGCTGCAGTGCTCAGATCTCTGCAGAAAAGGCAGGAGGAAATCACACAAAGACAGATGAGACAAAAAGAAAAAATTAGGGCACTCATATCTATTAACAAAGTTTGAAGAGAAAGAAAAGATACCACAGTATACATGACATAAAGCTCTCCACCAGCAATTCCCTGCAGCTACACTTAAGATCTGGGCACATGGATTTGCATTCCTTCCAGGCAGTATAGACCGTAGTCAGTACTGAACAGGAAAAAGTCTATTATTGTCACCATCATCATCAACAAACTAGTGACAGCCCTACCTAAAAAAATTCAACCTAGGCACCCATTGCTATTTGTCACAGACATCCTATCAAAACATTGGAAAACAACACTGTAAACCTTGAGACAGTGGTCTCACCTATGACACTTGAATTCAAGAGAGCAGATCAATGTGAGACTGAAGAAAAAGTGATTTAGAAAGAAAAAAAGAGGAAAGGGCAGGAAGATCTCCCTGAAAGTGTTGCTGTTTTTATTGAGCATCATTCCAAGACTATTATTAGATAAAAAGAAAGCCCCACAATAGCAAAGAGCAAGACAATAAAGAATGCAATTGCTCTTCAGTAAGACTATTGAGGTACCCTGAGGTAAACAAGGCACGGAGCACAGATGAGCCAAGCTCTAAATCTCACAGCAAGTGTCCTGACATCCTGACTTTCAAAGGACCTTCTGAACATTTAATAGCTCTTCCCACTGTCTCAGAGCCAACGAAAACAATACTCCATTTTATCTGTCCTCTTCCATACCTACATGCCAGAAGTCCAGTGAGAGCATCAGAGAGAAAGCGCCAAGTACTGGGAAATTCTCACAACCATTTTGCAAAGGCTGCTTGATAGATATCAGCCTCCTCCTAAGGTCTGGAGACGTTCTGCACAGGCAGCTTTCCCAGACAAAACAAATCTCCCAGTACTTGTAGTGAATGTACAAAGAGATGGGAAGATTTTTAGGGAGTAAAGGCAACCACAGATGCTGCGTTTTACTAAGCACTTAGATAATTTTGAATAAATGATCACTGGATAGTGATAGAACAGGAGAGAGTGATTTCAAACTGAGACAGGGGAGGTTTAGGTTAGGTATTAGGAGGAAGTTTTTCACCCAGAAGGTGGTGACGCACTGGAACAGGTTGCCCAAGGAGGCTGTGGGTGCCCCATCCCTGGGGGCATTCAAGGCCAGGCTGGATGTGGCTCTGGGCAGCCTGGTCTGGTGGTTGGTGACCCTGCACACAGCAGGGGGTTGAAGTTGGATGACCATTGTGGTCCTTTTCAACCCAGGCCACTCTGTGATTCTACGAGCACCTAAACTCCAAGGATGCAAGAGCAGAGGACAGAAGCTTCCTTTCCCTAACCATTCGGGTACTGCCGATGGAACAGAATTAGTAGTTTGTTCAACTGGAAGCTCCTCTTCTTGTCCATTTAACTAATTGCTTTCTTAAAAAGCAGAAACAACCAAACCTCACTAAGGGGCTTTACAAATACAAAATTAATAGAAAGGAAAATGGGAGAAAATGAAGGCATGCCAGCTGCTAGGGATAAAGCAATCCCAGTTATATATCATATATATATACGATATATAACCCTAGTTATCCACGTCTGCAAAACTACACAGATCTGGGCACTGCAAAAAGATCTTTCTACTTTCACTGGAAAGTTGAGTTCTCAGCAAAATGGAATTGGGTAACAATGGAAAAAAATGTGTTAAATATCAGAGCTCCTATCGTTAAGTGCTTTAAATGTAGTAAATTGAACATTTGGATCCAAATCCCAACTACTTTTAGGGCATCTGGGCCCATTTACAGCAACTAAATATGCTTTCAAGACAGAAGGGACTATAAAACCCACAACAGCTGTGTCTTTGCCCTTAACATCAAACATCAGAACCATCCTTGCGACAATAAAAGAAGGATCAGAAAGCTCTGCTGAGTTACTTGAATGCAACCTAACTCCATGTTAAGTGACAAAGCAGACAGAATTTTTTGGAAGGTGGCCACATATGTCTGCACACTTTCGGGCATCATAAAAGCCAGCAAGAGAAAGCTAACCACAAGTAATTTGGGCACTCCAGGTTCTCTGCATGCCAAAGCCCTTCAAGAAAGTAGCTGGTGATTCAGTGTTTACTCCAGCCAGTAACACACTGAGTCTCCAGCAGCAGTTCCTGCTCATGTGCTTATTTTAAACAGCTGAGGAAGAACATGCAGTGTGTCACGGGAGTGAGACAGATGTTCTCCTGCATAGCCTTCAGCACAGCAGATCCCTTGTCACCTGGATACTCTTGCAGTCTGTCACACATTTCACACCCTTGCTTTTGGGTAAATGATCCAACAGAGAAATCTGCATTTAAACAAAGAAACCCACACACTAATCTCAGCAGCATAAACAGAATGGCTCATTTTTAGTAAAGGCTTTTTTCAGATAGAGAAAACATTGCTCTACTGAAATGTACAGGTCATTACATTTGAAAACGTGATGTATTGGCATGACACACCTAATAACCTGGGGTCGAATGGCAGAACCCTCTAGAACACCACCTGATAGAATGAGGCTTGAAATGTCCTTGAAAAGCCAAATACTGTTTTCCAGCACCATTTCTGACAGAAGGAAACACACATTGCTGCCTTGCCATGACTGCATCCTAAGCAGTAAGTGACTGTTGCTTTCTCCATTCCATCTCCTCCCAATTCTACCACCATAAAGCATTCACATTCACACACATCCCTGTTCAGCAGCTCAACAAACAACACACTGGCTTCTCAGTGGGAAATGTGGGTTTTAATCTCTGAGGGAAAGGTAGGAGTTGAATGTTTATTAGAAGATGGAGGCTTTGCTTTCTCTGCAGTAATTAAGATCATTCTTAAGATTTTTTTCTCCTTCCTCATTCATTTGCATTAGAAGAAAGGACCTATAGTCACCGTGATCTGCTTCCACTCAAGAGCAGGCTGCAGGCTGCAGTACCATTCTGCTCTACAGCCTATTACCCCTGCCAATAAGCCAGAACCTGCAAGTCTCAATTACTGTATTTGTAATTTATGGGTATGTGCAGTTCAGTTTCAGATATACAGCTTTATTCTCTACTAGAAATAGTAACACTGAGCAGAAAAATAACTGAAAGGAGAGGGGGTTGCGTTTAGCTCGTTTTTGTAAAGTATCGAGGGCACTTACGGATGCTAAGGAAACCTCACGCGTATCCCAGTGAACAGGCAGTTCTGTTGTGGTAAGTTTTTGAGAATTTCTCTGTAACTGATCAGAAAATCACTTTGAGGCCCTAATGTCCTGAATATTACATCTGTGAAACAACATAATGAATTCTAAAGTTGTTTCACTGACTCCAGAGAAAGCACACTCCATTTACAAGTGTCTTTCTTTCACAAATTATTTCTGCAAACTCTACTGCTGCTTTTTTTCCCCTTTGAATATGATTACTGGTAATATTTCTGCAAGCCAGCCTGCAAAACATAAAAAGAAATCTGACTGTATTTTAAAAGATTTAACTCTCAGGAATAGGGAATACTGAAGTGGCAGTAATACTACAGTAAGAAAACTTTTAAAGCAACGACGTCATTACTTCTACAGCCTCTCAGAAGCAAAGCCAGCTGTGTGAAGCTGTGGGTTTTTTGGTTTTTTTTTTAAAATAAGGTGAACACCTGCCCATTAAGAACCAAATGGAAACTAAAAGGCTTATTTCATACAAACACTCCACAGCTAGCAAATGGTAGCAACAGTCAGTTTTTAAACAGAGCCAAATACAAACCCGCAACCCAGAACAGAAGGCTCTTTAAGGGTACTTAATATTACTCACAGTGAACACTTCAACATCTCTCCTGCTTCTTATTTCTTCAACAAGATCCAGTGGCTTTCCCTTAGGTATTGGAATAGTTCCAAGTACCACGGCCCCAGAGCCAGCCAGCATCTGACGAACAGCTTGAATAAAAGCCTGGCTGAAGAGTTCCATTTTTCCAATCTCATCTATGACGCAAATCTTTTTCTTTGCATCACTGCCCTGGTTTACCTGTGGAGAAGTGCATCAGGAGATTGTAAACATCACGGAACTTCGAACAAGCAGCAGAAATAACTGCTATGCTAATAAAAACTACCTCCAAAATAAATCCATTGCAATACTGGGGAAAACTGAAAAATCAAAGCTGCTGCTGTTGATGGCTGACCAACTTTAAATCTGCCATTTATATTTCAGGAAAGATAAGAATACATGTATGGCATAAATACCAGCTATGATGACAGGAAATATTCAGAATATCATTTTTCCTTCAGAGCAGAATTCTCCATGTATTTGACAATAAAGAACTGCTCTCGTTAAATCTGAAGGACCCAGACGTTTCAAAACATTGAATTCTGCATTTAGAATAAATCAATATCAACACAACATAATAATTAGGAATGGCTTGCATTACACGTTGGAAGCTTGTAGCTACAGAATGCCTTTCAAAAACAATTTTAAATTTAGAAGATTGTTCCTCACTATTTTAGCAAAACAAAAAAACAAAAACAACCAAACAAACACATCAGATGTTTACACCCTTGTCTACAGCTTCCAAACTTGAAGTAAGATTTCAGATTTTATGAAGGTTATTTTTTCATTATCAGCTCATACAGGAGCAGTTTTGTCTGTGTCAGCTGAGCCCTCAGTGCTGCAAACTGAGACATGCACAGGAGTGAGCAGACTCGGACAGGTCTCAGAATCTTCACCTTTGTCTCCAGTATTTGTTACATCATGATAAAACTTTGAAAGGTCAGTGCAGTTTGTCCAAAGTAGAATAGGAAGGCAGGAGTCAAACTGTAAACAAAAATGTGCTGATCTCTTCAGAAACAAGAACACTGTTCTCCTTCACACTGTGCCTTCTGTTTCCGTCTGCTCTGCTGCTTTGGCATAAGCTCTTGCCACAAAATTGACTTGATCATCAGATTTGTGATCAGAACCTGCCATCAAAGCAAGCTATGCAGAAGCACATTGTGATAGCATCTCTAGAATTGAAAACAAACAAACAAACAACACCAAATGAAAACCAAAATGAAAGAGTCTAAGATGGCAATAACCAGCACTTCTCTCAAAACAAGCAACTTTCTCCAAAGTTATTTGGATAAACAATCACGCCTTTGCCAGCTTTTTCTCCTCTCTCATGTCAGAACAATCATCTTCCATTTCTTTTTCATTATATAGTGTGATATAAAGAGAGTGCTCTGGCTGTCCTCTCCTGGTGAAGTTAACTAAAAATTACTCTCCACTAGTCTCAGATGTGAGGAATGAATCAACCTCAACTCAAACTCTCCTCTATAAAGCCATGAACACGCACCAATAGCAGCCATGCTACACAGAACCTAAAGAAAAGGAAATCTAAATATTTTTCCCCATGAAGACCACGTATTTTTAGCAGTACTGTTCAGCAGCTACTGTACAAAGTTGATCCCACGCTATTGCCAAAGTCAGATCTGCTCTTGTTTAATTGTGAAGAAGGGGAAAGGTTTGGGTAAGAGAGAAAGGAGAAGGAAAAAGGGTGATCATAATATTGCTTGCATTGCTGGCAGAGAATGACCAGAGAAGGACAAGAAAAAGACTAAGTAAGTCTTGTCACAGAGCACTCCTTCTGCAGTTGGCTAAGTCTGAAATTATCAGATTGCTGCATCATTTGAAACCAAGCTGTACTGACACAGCGGTAACAAAAAGTAATTACTGGATTCAAGCTACGAATAATGTTCCTACTTAAGGAATGGAATTAGAGCAAAAAGAGGGAGAAAAAAAGGACATGAAGAGAAACAGTGACAAAATCCTTTCTCGTGAGCCCACTAACTCAAGCCACTTGTATGCAGAAAGCCACCTGTACATTTTGTTTGCCTTCTACCATGCAAGGCAGTGGCATGGGCAGTCTCTCAACCCAAGGTGGGCCTGGCCACAGGATGCTGTCACATAAAGAAAGAGAGGCAAAGCAGTCTCACACCTCACAACAGCTCTGCCCCTTCTGCTACCTGATCCTGAAGGCAATCAGAATCAGTGAAATTCAAGAATGAGACCCTTTATTAACATCAAAATTGAATGCTGCAGAAGAGTCCTCCAATAACAATCATTATCGTGAAGCATCCATTTTTTCAGCAGCTTTAGTATAATACTCACATTTCTCAGCACAGGCAGAACCAACTGCTCAAATGAAGCAACATCTACAACGTATTGTCCAACACGACATTCACGTCTTGAAGTAGAAGAATCAGAACTAAATTTGAAAGACACACACAAATCCTTCTAAGTAATAAGTTCAGCAAGAACTTACTGCAGTCATTTCAAGTGGATTTACTAGAATAATTACTCTAGTCAGTCAATTTGCTCTTAATTCTTCTAAGCAAAGAAACCGTGAAAGCAATGCATTATGTAATATTGCAGACAGCATACTTTCAGATAACAAATATGCCATAAGCTACCTTCAGTACTATATAAGCTTAAATTCGAATGCTATGCAGAAGGACAAAAAAAATACAAAAGGTAATAGAGATATTCGCAATGAAATCAAAATATACACCTGCAGTTCTTGCAGGCATGGGAGCTGCCTTTGAATTAGGCAATGTGACACTAGACAGCATCAAAGCAACAACCCAAAGCTCAGAATAGGTTGCAGAACACTTAAACAGTCTTTGAAAAATACTCAGTTTGTATGTACAGCATCACACTATTCTGGGTGAGCCGTGTTTGTTAGTAGTATGCAAGTTATTTGGTCAGGTCAGTTATGTCTGAATGTGATGGAAATATCATGCCTACCTAGACTAAGTTGCGCAGGAATCATTAATCTAGCCTGGTAAATTAAGAAAGTGCTCTGCACTTCTGAAACCCTATTCTGAGTGGGACTCTGAGGCTCCCTTTTTCTTCAAATTCACATGCAGGATTTGTGGGCCAATTGGTGGCTCTTTAATACAACATTAAGTGCTATTCATCTTTAATTTTCAGATTCTGTACTCACAAATCAGCTGGAAGAAAGAAATAATCTTCTCTCCTGACTACAGCAAGCTATGCACTGTATCCCAAAGAGACCTGAATTTGGGATAAAAGCTCTATCTAGTGTAAAATATGAAGTAAAAGAGACCAGTCTTCTCTAGGTCATTTTCTTTTTTAAACTATGCGATATGGTGTCTACACAGATAATGCAGGAATCAGCCAGAAAATGAGAACTGAACAAAGAACATGACATGAAAACCATATCTGTGTTGGTAATCACCTTCTGGAAGGGCATTTAACATGCTGACAGACTAGAGAAGCATCAAAACAAGTGGCTTAAAACAATTTAAACCTCAGTACCTAACTCTAGATAAAGGACCTCGTTTTCCAGATAAAGTGACAACATCAAATCCTCTTCTTCTGCCGCCTTCCTTAACTTCCTCTGTGTAAAATCCATCAATGGGAACGTCTGAGGATTTTAGTGCTTGAGTGACTTTCTGGATCAAAGTAGTCTTTCCAATCCCTAGAAATAAAGAGGAAACAAAGAGTGCGTGGCATTAATCTTCTGTAGTAAAAGCCTATGTTTAAACATCACAGCAATTATGTGATTTAGCAGGAACATCCATTACAAGTTTGCAAATTGTTTCTTTTTTTTTTTCTTAAAGGCAGGGAAAGCAAGAATAGAAGCACCTTTTAAAGCCTATGCTGTACTGATACTAAAAATGCTTTATTATCCTTTAAGTAGGTCTACAGCGAAGTCACAACAGAATGGTACAAATACCTCAGGCTACAAGTGAACTTCCTAACTTAGATTGTGCCTGGACAGAGCTTGCCCCAAGACAAGCAAATGCACAAGAGATCAGCCCATGGTGAGAGTCATACTGTTAGACAGCTGGTATCTAAGCTAGCTGAAAGGCTGACTCCTGGTAGCAACAGAACCTCCTGGTCTATCACTGCTATTTGTTATTTTTCCAATGGAAATGAATTAATTCTCTTTTTATATTAGGTCAAAACTGATTGGTATTACCAGAGATGTGACTTCCAGCAGGATGAAGCACACACTACTTCTGTCCTAGAAATTGGAATTGCTCCGTACCCTTGAGTTATCAGATCCTACATGGCAAAAAAACAGACTTCTAATGCTACAGTAATTAAAGCAAGAGTGGTTCTTAGAAGATAAAGGGAAAAGCATTTTTTTACTGCGAGGGCAATCAAGCCCTGGAAGAACTTGCCCAGAGAGGCTATGCAATTTCATTCTGGGAGGATTTCAAGACCTGACTGGATAAGGCCGTGAGCAACTTGGTCCGAGCACATAGCTGACCCAGCTTTACACCTCCTGAAGTCTCTCCCTGAGTGAATTAAACTGGGCTCCTATAATCCATTCTCCCACCCTAATATAGATCTTCAAGACCTTTCCCAGCTGACATCACCTAGCACTATTTCATGTACTTTCTACTATGTGAATGCTGGCCATCTTCCAGATACCCTCAGTTCCCACAAAGGAGCTATTTCCTTATTTTACCTTCATAGAAGTAAATCCCTTGACAAAGCTGAGCTTAAAAAAAAGGAGTGTTGCCTCTCAAAATTTAATGTTATCACTTCATTTTTAATCATTATTATAAAGAAAATCTGCTTTAAAAATAGAATTATCCTGCACGAAAAACAACTCAGACATTAAATTCCTGGAGACAAATAATATATACTATTGCAATGTGCATAAAGATGCCAAGAGAAGTCTTTTCAGTATGCCTATATCAAATTCCTCCCCCAAATTTTAAGCATATTTAGCATCACAGAATAGTTTGAGCTAGAAGGGACCTTAATGGTAACAGTTCCAACCCCCTGCCATGGGCAAGGACACCTCTCACTAGATTGGGCTGCCCAGGGCCCCATCCAAGCTGTCCTTCAAGGATGGGGCATCCACAGCTTCTCTAGGCAACCTGTGCCAGTGCCTTGGCACCCTCATAGTGTGTAATTTCTTGTAATACCTAATCTAAACCATTTAAAGCTATTACCCCACATCCTATCTCTACACTCCCAGATAAAAAGGTTCCCATCCAGCTTTTCTGTAGTCTGCCATTAAGTACTAGAAAGCTGCTATAAGGTCCCCCAGAAACCTCCTCTTTTCCAAGCCAAAATATCACTGACAAAATCCAATGTAGCTCCAAGGGCATCTACTCAAATATGATTTCTGAAGATTGAAGTCAAAGGAATTCCTGGCATTTGAACAGCAACAAAATAACAAACATGTAACCAATCAATATCTGCCATCTTTCCAAGCCCTTGTCTCTGTAAGAGAATTTATACTAATTCAGCTAATCTCTGATTTGGTTACCTTCATGCAGTCAATTGCCAAAGTGAGCTGAAGTGATTAAAACTAAATTTAAGAAAGCTTAAACTTACACGTTTATCTATTCAAAACGATACATTCAATTTCAGTTAAATGAACACAACCAACCAGCTTACCCTACTCTGTATTTGCCAGATGACTGCCTCTGCTCTGGTGAATAGAAAGGATGAATAAAGCCAGTGGAACGTATCTCTACCTGAACTTACCCATAACATTTTATTTTAATTCCAGGCCATTCAAGTATCTCCAAAGGTACACACACACACACACACACACACACACACACAAGCCCATGGCTTTGTTAAAACAAGCTTTACCAGTGTGCTAACTGATGTGTTTACTAACTCCATAGCTCATGCAGCATCTCTCTCTCCCTTCAGGATTAGCAGCTTTTCAGTATCTAAGGGGGGATTATACAGAATCATACTGGACTAGATAACCTTTCAGGGTCCCTTCCAACTCAAATGAATTCTATAATCACACCCGTTGCCATCACAAAACACTCCTCCAGCCAAGGCCTACTATTCAACACCAACTGTTACTCTGAAACTGTACGTGGCTTAGGTTGCAAGAGCTAGATTACTACAATTAAGGAGGAAAACAAAACCACTACGAAATTATTAAAAACTGATGTTTAGTTGAAGTGGGATTCGTTGTCCAGACATTTCTCTGCCCAACACCCAGCCGCGGGGCTGGAGCCAGGAGCAGCACACGAGCACCTGGCAGCGCGCACTACGTAGAATTGGGCCGGGAGCTAAAACGGATGCAGCGTGAGGAAGTTCGGGACGTATCAGCAGGCGACTCGCGGGAAGGACAGCGGCGACAGCCCCTCAGGCAGCGGCCGGGCCCAGCTACAGCCGGAGGTGCTGCCAGAGCTGCTTCCCACCCTGCCCCGGGCTTACATCCCCCGCCGGCCAGACCGGACCAGGTGCTGGACTGCCGCGCCGTTTCCCCTCGCCCTGCTCCCCGGGCTCCTCTTGCTGCTGGCGCCAGGCAGCCTCGTTACCTGGGGGTCCCGTCAGGAAAACGTGCCTGGACATGGCGGGGAGCAGCGGACCGCTCTCCGCCCTTTACAGCCGACGCGGCGCGGCGGGCGGCAGGAGCTCGGCGGGAGCACCGCCCTCGCTCCGCCTCTCTCCCGACGGCCCCGCGCAGCACCCAGGGGAGGTTGAAGAGTCCGGCGCTGCGCCCTCGTGGGGAGAATGGGGTACCCTGAGGAAGCCCTGGATGGGACCGGCTCCTGCCTTAGTGCTTCCCGTAGGATGGATGTTACTTAAGAGTTGGGGCTAAGGGAACGAGAGGATAAATTAGTTTCCTAATTTATTTTTTTTTTTTTTATTTTTTTTTTACAGTCAGCTTGACCTACTTATAAAGAAATTAAGTTGGAAGAAGCTTTCCCTTGAATTGTTGTTTTTTGTTTTTGTTTTTTTTTAACCCATTTCAGTAAACAACGTGATCCGAGATGTAGGAAAGCAATCAATAAAAAGATAAATGAGTCATCTGATAGCTCCGTGTAGATAAGCAAGGGAGGGGTAAACTGCGGGTTCACTGACCGCCTCGCAACAAAGCTGGGTGAATTTTGGGTCACAACGCAGAATTACAGAATAGTAGAAGTTGGATGGGACCTCTGGAGACCACCAAGTCCAACCTGCTCGCTCCAGCACAGTGCCCAGGAGCAGATCAGCCGGTGCTGTGGCTTTTGAGTATTTCCTAGGAAGGATAGTCTGCAGCCTCTGAACAGCCTGTGCCAATGCTCTGTCATCTTCATAGCACATTTTTCCTTACGTTCAGTCGGAAATTGCTGTGTTTGTGCCCACAGCCCCTCCCCTGCCGCAGCTCCATGCCGTTCCCTCGGGCCCTGCCGCTATCACACAGCAGAGCTCAGCGCTGCCCCTCCGCTCCCTGTGAGGAGCTGCAGCCGCCTCAACTCCTCTGCTCTGCGCTGAGCACGCCCAGGGGGCTGACCTGGTTCTCACAACTACTTCACCATCTTCATAGTCTTCCTTTGGACTATCTCTAATAGTTTTATGTTCTGCTTGGCACTGTGGAGATTTGTTACAGAGCCGGAGAAAGGATTTTGGTGTGGAGTCTCCAGTTACCTCAGGGTCAATACGTTCATGAGTGGAAATTGCTCTCCCTGTTTTCAGAAGCTGCTGCACTGAAGCAATGCTAGGAGGTAGGGTTATTGAGCGAGGTGTGTGTCACTCAGGTGGCATTTATAACCAGGGCCAGTGGCTGGGATCCCACTGGGATTTGAAGGCATCAAGAGGGGAAGGAAGGGTCACATAAGAATGAAAACTAGTGCAGCTTGCCAGCACAAAGTGTGGGGGATGCACAGAACTTCCTATCACCAAGCCCAGGTCTGGTGTACTGCACTTAGGTCAGCAGAGGAAAGTCTTTCTTCAGCTGGAATTTATAAATCAGAGCCATTTACGGTTGTTCTGTAACAGCAGGTGAGGCACTTCTGCTGTGTGTAATAGGCTACCATCTAGGCAGCTGGTGGAAATCATGCTTCTACACTTGCAGCCTCAAGCTGAGGGAGCTGCCATCCATTATGTCCATTTTCCAGGAGTGTACTCTTATAACCAAACTCACAGGCTTTCCCTTTTAAGGCTGAGGCATGGTTCAGCTGCAAATTCAAGCTGATTGGGCCAGAAGGTGATGTAGGGGAGGGAAGAACTAGTTTTTGCCCTAAACGGCATTGCACAGTCGTTGGATGTATTGTATGTGGTTAATTAACTGGATATGTTCATAGAATCATACAATGCTTTGGGTTGGAAGGGCCCTTAAAGATGATTTAATTCCAGCCCACCTATTACATATTACGTATTATATATTACACTTTACATACTACAGATGAGCAGTACATTCTGTTTTATGTAAAATCTAGGGAGTGATTAGAAGCAAAATTTGGTACTTGTGAGTAGGCCAGGGATTGTTTGTATCACAGTTTAGAAGGAGAGATCGTAACTCCAAATTCTTGCTTACCTATACTCCACTTTCACTGATAACCACATTTAGTTAATTTATCTTTCTCTTAAACATAGTGACTTCAGTTCTCATTCCACATGAGTAGTGTTGAATGTGTATCGTGCTCAAATACTCGTGCTCAAATACTTAAAAAAAAAAAAAACTTGAAAACTATGACATGCCTTTTGGAGGGTAGAGGGGTCAAGAGGGAACAAAGCTTCCCATATAATCTAAAAATGAAAAATACATTTTCATAGTTTACATACCAGGACTTTGTTGTTTTTCTTTCCAAGAGCAGTGAAATAATCACAGTGTTAACTTATGGCTTCCCACAGGGGTTTGTCAGGCATCTTTAATCTAAAGAAAGAATTACAGCAAAGAACTGTGTATTTACTAGACTGTTAACACTGTTAACAACATTTTATAACTGGCTACTTCACCCTTGGCCTGGACTTCCTGCGCAGAACTTATTGTGCTTGGTTTTACAGGTAGGTTTTCTGTGTAATATTAAACCATCTCAGACTACTGGCTGGTTGCCAGTAGTTTGTTTTGTTCATACGATGTTGTTTTGTTCAATGTACAATTTTGCTAGTTTTTATAAATCAACCTTTCCTTTGCAGAAGTGCATGTGGGGAGTTTTAGGGCTATCACTGTTTGACAGAACCCTTGGTTTTTGTACCCTAATTGAAGAACCATTTAATTCTGCTTTCGGATACAGAAATAACTATCAGTAATTTCACTGTGTTGCTGAATCCTTGAGCTTGCAACCAATTGTGTGAATAAAGCCGTTGCAGCATGAGGGCTTGAATTAATTAGCATTCCATTATAATTTATGTATTTTTTACATAAAATGTGCTCTCCTTCTGGGTGCTCTGTCTAGGCTGAAGTCATTCAAATGCACCAAGAACAGGCAGTAAGTACGCCGACTGTGCGTTTGTGGAGTTCTGCTGTTACAGGGACCTTGTGCTTGCTAAATGCATTTGAAGTTTTATTTATATTTCCTCAAAGACTTAGTATTTAGGTCTGCTCCCTTTTGTATACTTTATAATCTAGTTGCTGCTTAGAACATGAGCTGTTCAAGAAGCATGAAATGCCATGTGCATGTTGTCTTCTTTGTAGCTGTGTGCTATAGCCAGTTGTCTGTAAAGTCAGCCTGCTTGCTCTCCTGATCGTGGGATTTTTGCTTTTTTGGATAGGGATGGCTGGCTGGAATAAAAAATACAACACATACCCTAGCATTGCCAGTAACTCTAAAAGAAAGTGTGTGGCATGGGTTATACTTGTTAGGATGAGGAGAGAAAAAGCTAGCTCTTCATCTTCTGAAATGGGTAGCTTAGTAGTCATTTATTTCTAAATGGTGAATAGTCTGCTGGCAGAAAGTGTCTTCATATCCAATTACCTAGGCTCTATTTTTGGTAGATGAGCATCAGTTAAACTCAGCTCCTGCTGAATTGAATGCTGTGGTTGGGCAAGTCCATGAAAGAAGTGTTTGCAAAAGATTGGTGCCTGGAAAACATCCTTGTTGGAGTAGGGAAGATTGTGATTCTGTTGTGAGTGACCTGTAGAGACCTCAGAGGGAGCTGCCAGTCATAGTTATAAACTGCGTGCTAAGCCTGGGGAAGCCTGCCTTTATTGCTAGATGTTCACTAAAAAACTTGGATGGAGTCCTAGATCTTTACATTGAATGGGGAAAAATTAATTAACTGCAAGTTTCCAGACCAGTGACTACGAAAAGAGGTCATTTTTGATATTTATAGTATTCCTTAGAGCAGAAGCTGGAAGGAATGAGAGTGTAATCTACCATCTCTGACCCGTACCCTCAGTTGGGCAGTAGTTTATGTTTTAGCCTCAAGGAAGACTCAGCACGTTGCTAGAATTCTGTCCCTTTGTTTATCTGCTGTCTATTATTTTTCTTACAGGAGAGAGAAAGTTTAAGTTGAAACCCTTTTCTTGCTCTCTGCCAGCATTCGTTTTTTTTATTCATAGTACTCTGAGTTTGTACAGCATTTTGCTGAGGTCAGGATAGAGAAGTACGTGTTATTTTTTAAGAGGTTTAATGTTAAAGAGAGTTCTTGGTTTTGTCCTTCTTCTCACTTGCAGGGAATGTTCCTGCTTACAGATAGTGGGCCTAGCTGAATCCCATTAGACATCTAATGATACCAGTAGTTGTTTCCATCTGACTGCCTCTGTTTGGCCTGCGGGATAAGCGTGGGGTCAGCAGGTATCTGAGAATAAGCCTTGAGCTTCTGTGGCCTGCCAGTCTTTAATCTCAGACTTCCCAGAGAGATAAGCCACTAGGTAAATGCAGGGCCTCCTCTAGATGAAAACTGTGGTGCTGTCTGTGTCAGTGATTTGACTATGAATCTTCTCCTATGTGGTTCACAAAGTAGGAATTCTTTATGTTCCATCAATGGTTGTCACTGTTCCTTCAGGCTGAAAAGTTCCTGAAAAAAGAGATAGAAGAAATAAATCTAATCAAATATTATAAATACCCTCTATATGTAAGCAGGCAATAGTTGTGAAGAAAATTAGGTGAATTTGCTACTGTAAACAGAGACCAACCTTCAGAAAACAGTTGTGTGTCTCTACCAGCACAGCACACTGTCTACCCAAACCAATGTTTGTCTATCAGTCCTTATGGTTGTGTTCCTTATCACTGTAAACATACAATATATACTTTTGGGGATTAGTTTCTCTGATCATGAAGTCTTTGACCCTTCAGAGAAATGTATGTAGTTAAGCAAGGCAGTCAGGAAGAAAACAATAAAAATAGTTCATCTATGTAATAGGACTGGACTGGTCTATGTGTAAAAGTCTGCCTTTCAGATTAGGAACTGAACAGAATTTCTGAAGAGAAAAATGGGAGATGGTATGGCACTGGTCAGGGAGAAAACTTGTGTGCTTTTGAAAAACCTCTGTGCCACACTGATTATTTTTATTTTTATTTTTTTGAAGTTTGCTCAGTGCCAAAGGGTGCATCTGTATGTCTCATTACAGGATATAAGCTCAAATAATATGATTCTCCTCACTATTGAGACAAGAATAATACCATTAAAAGATATTTCCTTCAGCTGCTACCAAAATAGATTCATATTTCCGGATGTCGTGTTCTGTTAATTCGGAGTGGGGACTAATTGCCTTGAAATCAGCATGGTATGACCTGG